GCGTGGCAAGTGTGGGGGGGTATAGTTAAGAGTGGAACATCTAGAAGGGGGAGAGATGTGCCCAGTCCCAGTGAAGCCAGGCCTGTGGAGCTGGGGTTGGATTCTAGGTTCAAATTCTGGCCCTAATGTTGATGTGACCTTGGGGGAGTGAGGGACAGAAGGAAGGGGAGGGGATCACAGACTGGAGAGGGGGTGGGGCTTGTCTAGAAGGTCGGCCCCAATGACCTCGGGCAGGTTACCCCTGGCCCTGAGCTGTTTTCTATGCTTGGCTAGAGGGAGCCAGCTTGTGCAGCAATGGTGCCACACAGTGGCTTTGTGGAGAAGTGGACAGTAGGAAAACGTGAACTGGGCTGGTTCAACTCTCCCGCAAAAATGGTAACATTTGGCAAAATGCTACAAGGGGCTACCTATAGCCACCCTCATCCCCCCACTTTCACTAGAATCTCATGGTCACCCCTTGATAAAGGGACTCCTCCGCCTACAAAGTCCCTAGGGAAAGAGAGGGGTGTTGCCTGCAGATTCCCTGGGGTCAGGGTCGGCCTGCTCAATTGCCCTGGGCTTTTCTAAATGTCCTCCCTCCCTCCTCCTTCTCTCCCTAATAATAATAGCCTATTTAGGTAAGACAGGGCAGGAGCCATCGGAAGTGCCTTACAGGTCCTTGTCTAGTACCTACTGTGTACTAGGCCCTGGAAGACAAGGCTGCAAGTCAGAGAGGGTTGTGAGCCCCACAGGGAAGGTGCAAGTAGTAGCAGAAGCACCGGATAGCATTCTGGAATCTCCCATGTCCACTCACAATGCACTGAAACATTCACCCAGGGGCCACCGGCCATGTCCACGGGCCAGATCCCAGAGCTCAACTGCCAGGTGCCCAGATGATGAGCTGACGGACCAACCATTGTTCATAGTTTATCAGTGTTCTTTTTTTTTTTTTTAAAGATTTATTTATTTATGCATACAAGAACTGGGCTACAGGCCAGATATGTGGGGAGTGAGAGGATTCACCAGAGACAGAGTGGGGAGCGGAACGGGTAGATGAACGAAGTACATTGCTGAGGGGAGCAGCGAGCGGGTTATGCTGTGCCATGTGGGTCACCTTCCTGACCAGGGATCGAACTCATACTGCAGTAGCTATGATAGCTTCAGAACACTGTGGGTAACCCCTTGCACCACCAGGGAGTTCATGGTTTATCCTTTGTTAATGGCTGAAGATAGTCAAAAGGAGAATATTTCATGACATGTGAAAAGTATATGAAATTCAAACCTCGGTGCCATTCCCAGAGTTCTGTTGGAACCACTGTCCTACTCAATTAGCATTGCCTGGCACGAGAAGGACAGAGTGAGTAGTTTTGAGAGAGACCGGATTGCCCCCAGTCTCTAAAATATTTATGATGGGGCCTCCCTGGTAGTGCAGGGGTTCAGTCTCAGCACTGTCAAGCTATCCGTAGCCACTGCAGCACAAGTTCAATCCCCAACAGGGAGCTGACCCACATGGCACAGCAGACCTCACCTGTCTTTCCTACTGCTCCCCTTAACAGTGTATTTCAGTCAATCCACCTGTTCTGCTCCCCACTCTGTCTCTGGTGAATCCTCTCACCCCCTGCACCTCTGCCCTTGTGTGCATAAATAAATAAAATCTTAAAAAAAATATTTACCATCTGGTCCTTCACAGGACGTTTGTGAGCTGACCCCGGCAGCAGAGCTGGAGACAGATCTCCAGGCCAACTGCCCCACAGCTGCTCCCTGGTGAGCAAACCCCCTGGGGGCCAGTCCTGCCTCACCGTTACCCCAGCTTTGCTGGTGTCAGCTACTTATACCTCACCATCCAAGGGCAGAAACACCACAGCAGGCCCCAACCCCTGTCATTTCCCTATAACACCCATGAGAAAAACAATCCCCGCAGACATGAGTCGACCTGTTTTCACTCTCTTGTGTTTTGCTCAATGTGGCGGTTTCTAAGAACGACAGCATTCAGTTGGATGACCGGTATCCTGAATTCTGATCCAGCGGTACAAAAGAAGAGAACTGAGGCCCTGAGAGGCTGAGTCACGACACATCAGTGGTAAAGGGGGACTTGAACCCCACAGTCCTCCTGCAAAGCCAGCGCCTTTGACTCAAGCAAGTAAACAAAGAACATCCTCCACTACAAAGTAGCTGTAAGAAAGTCAGAAAAAAAAAAATGGATTTTTTTTTTTTTTGGCTATATGGCCACTTGTGGCTTAAAAACATCTAGGTAGCAAATCCAGTCCCCCAAAGTTTTCTCTTTCTGGCTTTTCTGCTGGTTGTGCTGGAACCCCAGTGTTAAAGTGATTAGGAAACTGCTTAATCGGTCTACTCCACACCTCAGAAGCGTCAAAGTCATCATCGTTTGCAGGTGGGGAAACTGAGGCCCATAGAGCATGAGCATCCTGCCCTAGACCCATTGAAGGCCTTCCTGCTCTAAGGCATTGCCCATTTTAGCAGCTCACCACGTGGAGACAGGTGTGTGGAGGATGAGGAGGGAGGATGGAACCGGGGAGGTGGGGGAGGGGGAAAGAAATGAAGGAGGAGGAGGACTGGGAGGGGGAAGAAGGCCAGGAGGGGAGGAGGGCTAGCAGGGAGGAGGGGATGGAGGACTTGGAGGGGAGGACTAAAGGGGAGGAGAACTTGGAGGGGAAGGAAGAGGACTCAGCTTCGACCCCGCCGCCCGCCCAGCATACCTGCCAGAGGTAGACAAAGCAGACGATGATCCAGATGATGGGCAGCCACAGCCCGTTGAGAAAAAGGATGCTATCGGCCAGCCGCTGAACGTCCACAGACACAAGGTTCACCACGTCCCCTACTGGGCTGGCCTTTCTGGAACTGCTGGACAGAGTCAGGACCTGGGCAGGGCAGGAGGAACAAAGCCTGAATTGGAGTATGGACCTGGCGAGGGGCAGGCCGGGTGGCCCTGGGGCACTGGCAAGAGCGAGCTCGCAGACCTGGGTCCGCAGTGGTCCTCGTAGCCTCGCCTGCGCAGGGCTCTGGGCCTCTGAGCCTCACCCACTCACCTGCAGAGGGCCTAGGAGAGTCTCCTGAAGCACTGGAGCAATAATAACAGCACAGCACCTCAAGTCTCTGGATTCACGCTGCCAGGGGCGTCGTTTGCTGAGGCCCAACTATGTGTGGGGCACTGTGCCACGTGAAGTTTCACTTTCTATGAGCAGGTACTGCTGTATCTCCTTTTTTTTGTTGTTTATTTTTAAAGATTTATTTATTCATGCATACAAGAACTGGGGTGCAGGCCAGAGGTGCGGGGGTGGGGGGGGTGAGAGGATTCCCGAGAGACAGAGTGGGGAGCAGAACAGGCAGATCTACAGAAATCCACTGCTGAGGGGAGCAGCAGGGCGACAGGAAAGGTCTGCTGCGCCATGTGGCCAGGGATCGAACTCATGCTGCAGTGGCTGCGGATTGCTTCATAGTGCTGTGCTTTAACCCGTTGCACCACCAGAGAGGCCCCTGTATTTCCTTCTAGGGACATATTTCAAACTAAAGTGCATGGATTAAAGGTGCCATATATTTAAAAAAAATTATTTATTTATTTATATAGGAACTGGGGTATAGGCCAGAGGTGCCAGGAGTGAGAAGATTCCCCAGAGACAGAGTTGGGAGCAGCATAGGCAGATTTACTGAAATACACAGTTGAGGGGAGCAGCAGGATGACAGGAGAAGTCTGCTGTGCCATGTGGGTCAGCTCTCTGGCTCAGGATTGAACTCGTGCTGCAGTGGCTGCTGATAGCTTGATAGCACTGAGACTTTAGCCCCTGTGCCACCAGGGAGGCCCAAAAGTGCAGAGAGACTGTTCTGTCCCTAGTGGTCCGATGTGACCTTGGAGTGATAAGGGCAGGGGACAGTGGCCCGAAGTGTAACAGCCTGTAAAGGAGGTGGTCGGGGTATGAGCTCTGGATTGGCTGGTTTGCATGTGCAAGGTGTGCTCCCAGGTGAATCATTTACTACGCCAGGAATCCGCTGGCCTTGGCAAGAGCAGTCCCTCCTGGCTCAGCGCACTCCAGCAGGCAAAGCACCAGATAACAAAATATAAAAAATCGCGGGAATCTAGCAGCAGACGGTAGAGCAGGGTTTGAGGTCTTCAGGAGGCTTCTGGAAGAGCAGGGACTGGGAGGAGCAACGTCTTCAGCCTCTCGGTCTCAACTTGGGGACTAGCAAGGCTGGACAGGCCACACGTGGCCTCAGAATGCCCTGGGGACAGCGGGCAGGACTGCCCACTTGGCCATTCCAGGCCTGTTCCCTTGCCCCGATAGCCCCCCGGGTCACAGCTCAGGTGGGAGAGAGTGAGACTCGGAAGGGGCGGGGTTGGCCTGGGCCAGTGCTCCAGACCCCTCAGGAGTGAGTTCCTGGGCCCTGAGAAAGCCCCGCTGCGGCTGCACCACTGTGCTTTGACAGAATCCAGCCAGACGCAGTTCGGCGTAGGCCAGGGCTCTCTGCACCGCAAGCACATTGCCTGCTACCAGAGCTGGAGTCCACGTTGCCTCTCTGTCCTCAAGGGGATGTGAAGTTAATCACATGAAGAACTGAGGAAAGGGCTACTGGAGGTGACCTTGGAGCTGGACCCCAGGCAGTGGGAGGCTCTTAGCCCCTCCCAGCCCTGAAATGCACTCTGCCCCGGGGCCCTGCTGCATGCATGGGGTACTTCAAGGACTACGCAGCCTGGAGAGAGTGATGTGGACCACCTGGGGGGGGGCACAGGACCGAATCCCATTACGGCCACCATATGAAGAGTCTGTGGGCGGTATGGGCATGTGGGCATCTTTTTGCCTTGCAGGCCCCAGGACAAGCCTCAAGGTAAGTCCTCTTACTTATTAAAACCACCCAGACATCCATCTGGAGCGATCTGCATTTCTCCTTGTCTTTCTTTGCACCCTGTAAATGGTGTCAGTTTTAGACTTCACCTGGGGGGAGCTCCTCAGGGTACAAACCACAGGTGCCTGGACAGTGGGAACAGTAAGTGCAAAGGCCCTGTGGTGGCAGGGTGCCTGGTTCCTGGTTTATTGAACAGGAGACCTGTGTAGCTGGGGGCGGGGAGGAGGGTGAGCAAAAGGAGGAGGTCAGGAGATGCCAGGATCAGATCATGCAAGGTCTTACAGGTATAAATAAGGTGAAATTGTAGTAGTAAGAACAACTACTAGGAAAGTAAGAAATAAGCTCATTTTCAGGTACAGATCTCAGCATAATGTTTGTGTGTAGATTAGGATAGGATGGAGATAGGGAAAGGCCCACACCTCTCCCTCGGGCTCACCTTTCTATACACCAGGCCGGTCATGGCTGTTCGGAGCCTCATCTGCAGCACCTTGAGTCTGTACACGTGCTGCTGCTCGAACAGCGTTTGCAGGCAGGCGGTGAGGAACATCAGCACTGCCAGGAGATAGCCGTTCCAGGCTGGGGTCTTGGGGTCACCTATAAACTCCAGAAAGAGGCTGTGGGAGAGGGAGGGAGAGGGTTTACAGCTTGTGAGAGCCTGGCATGTCTTGAGGGTCAGAGGATGTCCTAATAGGCTAAGTCACTGCCATTGTTTACTACACTCCTCTTCAGTGTGACTTTGCAGCAATGATAATCAAGAGGCAAGTTTTTATTTCCAGCTGTTATGGGCTAAGTATTCCCACAAAAATTGCATGTTGAAATCCTAACTCTCAGTACTTCTGAATGCAGGTGTATTTGGGGATCAAGCCTTTAAGGAGGTGACTGAATCAAAAGGCCCCTTGGGTGGGCCCTAATCCAGTCTGACTGGTGTCCTTAGAAAAGGAAATGTGGACACACAAGGAGACACCAGGGATTCACATACACATACAGAGGAAGGACCAGCTGGGGTCACGCCAAGAGGGTGGCCATCTTGAACCCAGAGGAGAGGCCGCAAAAGAAACAAACTTGAGGGCCCTCCCTGGTGGCGCAACTGGTTAAAGCGAAGCACTAAGAAGTGATTCACAGCCACTGCAGCATGAGTTCAATTCCAGGCCAGGGAGCTGACCCACAGGGCGCGGCAGACCTCTCCTGACTGCTCCCCTCGGCAGTGTACCTTGTCAATCTGCCTGTTACACTCCCCACTCTGTCTCTGGTGAATCCTCTCACCCCTCACACCTCTGGGCTCTACCCCAGTTCTTTTATGCCTAAATAAATAAATCTTTAAAAAAGAAAGAAAGAAAGAAAGAAACCTTGAACTTGGACTTCCAGCTTCCAGAACTAGGCACTTCTTTATGGCAACCCTGGCTGACTAACAGGGGGCACCTTGAATCCGCACTGGCTGTGCAGCCAGCCAAGAAAACACAGTGGAGGTGAAACTGGACTAGCTCCAAGCCTACCCCTGGGAAAACAGAGGAAGGACAGCTTTTGGGCCAAGTCTTGGCACAAGCAGCCCTGTGAAGAGGTGGAGCCAGCCTCTTGGGGCATGAAAGACCACATGGAATCGAAACACCCCTCCTAGCTAGGATCAGCCTATCCCCAACCAGCCTCACAACTGACACAGGAAGGAAACCCAGCCAAGGAAAGAAGAACCGCCAAGCTGAGCCCAATCTGTTTCAATGACCCATAAAATCATGGCCTAAATGGGTGGTCTTATACCCCTCTCATTTGGGGTGTTTTTTATACAGCAGAAGCTAACGGATGCAGATGGATTAGCTTGCACTCATGTTTCCTTCTTTAGGAGTTACTTTCACTTTTTTTTTCCCCCTTTCTCAGGATCTGTTTCACACACCCTCCGGAGGGCCAGGCAGAGGCAGGAGAGTGGCAGCGACCCTGGCTCTGGAAGGACACCATTAGGGGAGCACCATCCTTAAGCAAGGCACCACAGCCAAGACCCACCTGAGGAGCTTGGGGACCGCAAACCTGAAGACATCACTGATGATCATGCTGAGCGTGGCCAGGAGGAAGGTGGACCGGAACACCCGCCAGATGGCCCTCAGTAGTGGACCCCTCTTGCTCCCCTCATGCTGTAGGAAGGCCTTGGTCTCTGAGGCCTTCACAAAATGGCTTCCTTCCCTCTGAAATGCTGTGGCCTCCGTGTGCCTTAGAGGAGAGGACAGAAGGGCTCTGGGTCCTGGCAAGAGACTGAGTGTCTGTGTCTCCCCAGAGTCATATGTTGAAACCCAAAGGTGATGGTGTCAGCACAGGGGGCCTTTGGGAGGTGACTAGGACATGTGGGTGCAGCTGCTGTGAGTGGGATTAGTGACCTTGTAAGAGACCCCAGAAGCTCCCTTCTTTCTTCCGCCTGCCTCCACCCCTATCTTAAGTGGCCCTTCTGTTTCTTGATGTGGCTTCTCTAGTACAGCTTCCCTCTGGGAGCCTCAAAGTGACCTCTCCTTGTCAGGGTCTTTCTGGAGCCTCAAAGCACTCTCAGAGCAAGGTTATCTTAAGTCTAGTCAGTTCATGACTCATGAAATCCGTGGCAGGCAGGGGACTGTGGCTGTGAACCCGAAAGAGGGGGGGTGTTATCCTTGGGGCCCAAAGATAAGCTCGGGGACTGAGCAGCAAGCCAGCCAGCTCCATCCTTCACATCCTTCAGCTCCACACTCACCTCTGGGCAGCTCTGTGGTTGCTGGTCCACTCCCTTTGGAGCTGAGACACGATTTCTTCCGAGGAGTTTTCCCACCCAAGCGACCAGATGTCTTTCGGTCCCAATAGCCTCCTGTAACCTTTCCAGACCAGCCTGTAAGAGAGGACCACAGGGCAGGTGCTTCCTGCCACTGCCCTTCAGCATGCAGGCCTGGTACTTGTGTGACCCTGGGGAAGCCACGCTACCTCCCTGCAGCTCTGCTGGCCACTGGTAACTAACCTAATCTCCCCCAACATGTACAGGGTCCTTCTCAGTCTATAGAGAGCACCTCATTGGGTTCGCACACGGGACTCTGCGGTAGATTGCTAGTGACCTGTTGTGCAGCCAAGGATGAAAATAGAAGCTCAGAGAGATTAAGTGATCTAATCAAGGAACCATCGATGTGGGAGGGGAAATAAATCTCCCTAGAAATGAGAAGTCCAGGGTGGAAGACTGTCATCATGAAGGAAAGCTGAACTCCTCCTTCAGCTTTAGATGTGCTCATTTGCGTCTCACTCACCCCTTTACCCATATGGCCTCAGGACCTTCGCACATGTACCCTGCTTAAAGTTCTCCCTGCTGCTCCTCACCTCGCTACTCCTACTCATCCTTTACCTCTGGACGTAGAGCCAGTTTCCTTGGCAGCCCACTGAATGAGCTTCCAGTTCAGCTAGATGCTTCCATTATAAGTTCCCGTAGTTTCCTAAGGTTTTTATTCTAAAATGCTCGCTGTGTAATGATTATTTACTTCTTTAGTCTGGCTATATTGATGCAGAGTCTTTCTCTTCCATTGGATGAGGCCAGTGGGGTAATTGCCCTTGTGCTCTCTCCTCTCTATCTTTACCTCCTGACAAGAGCACAGGTGATTGGTCAAAGGAAGATACTTCCCAGCCCTGTGACCTTGGGCACATCACTTCCCACCCTTGGATCTCAACTGTCTCAGCTTACAGAGTGCTTCCCCGTTTTAGGCTGCTATGTAAGCTGCCTGGAGTTGGCATATTCACAAGAAGTTAGATTCTATAGCCTTCCCTAGCAAGAGTCCTGTTCTTCTGTTGTCTTTAAGCTTGTGAAGGACAGCAGGAAGAAGGTCTTGTTTGAAGCTGGCATTGAGTCCCTCGCTGACACTTTCCAGGCTTGTTTTTCTAACAGATCAAACTCAGGTGAACGAATGATCTACAAATTTGCTAATACTGACTTACATGAGACTAACACATAGACTAATACTGCTTGGTTTTCACTGAAATTAATTTTGGAGTTCTACATGGCAAGGGATTCTGAGGATTTTCCTGATTTCTGGCAATGTCAGAAAAGTTTGCTTAAAAAAAAAAAGGCATGCTAAAGCAGAAAAGCAAGTTCATTGGCAGAAATAAAATTAAGTAACTAGAGCATGGGTGATACCCTATAAAGGCAAAATGCTTAAAAGATGATCCATACCAGGGAGAAAAAATAATAATGAACAATTATATTCCAGAGACATTTTACGGGGGTGGAGTGGAGAATGGGATCAAAAAAGGGGGTGGGGGAAGGATCACTGGACTGTGGTGATGGCACACAGGTGATTTGGTGATGGGAAGCTCATGGGGGTTACAACTGAGATGGGAAAAGGCACAAAATGATGAAAAATAAACTATTATAGTAATAAAAAAAATAGGGAGAAAAAAAAGATGGTCCATAGATGCCTAAGCCTGGGGACAGCATGCTGGGTCCTGAGCAGTTTTTAGCCCACTTTTGTGCTCTTTCCACATGTCCACACCCAGACTCTCCTGTTCTACATTTATTTAAGAACCACAATGTATATGTAACACTTACGATAGGCCACAGGTCTGAGTTCAGACCCATGCTCAGAGCTTCATCAACTTTGTCTCATTTAATCCTCACAACCTTATGAGACAGACACGATCATTATCTTCATTTTACAGGCAAGAGATCAAGGCACAGAGAAGTAGGGTCACACCGCCAGGAAGCGGTGGGCCTAGGATTTACACCTCACAGAGGGGAAAGCTGATGTGGTTGCTAAGTCCAGTGCCAAGATGCAAACCCAGACCTCACTCCAATGAATGGGAAGGGGATGTAGATGCCATAGACACTAAAATCTGGAAAGTTCTGAGACTCAGGTGGAGAAAGCCTGACTGACCTTGGAAGGACTGGGAGGAAAACTTATTCATGGGGAATAAGAGCAGCAAATTCAGGTGGCAGGTGACACTGTCCAAGCCCCATCCCTGCCATTTGACTTACCCAGAAACCCACCAGAATGTGACCTTGGAGGGGAAGGAAGCACCAGCCTCTGGACATGGGTTCTATAAAGAAAAAATATGGGGAGGTCTTAGTCTCATATTTCATGCCAGTGTGTGCGGGAGGATCAAGGGCATAAGACAGGAAGAATGGCCCCCATGCTTAGTGCCAGCTGTGCCAGCTGCACACTGAGGAGTGCTGCCTGCTATTGGAGAGAGGCACCCAAGAGCTTGGTGCTTCCTCACAGGCCAGGTAAAAGGGGTTGGGTCAAAGGTCTGGCAGCTCCCACAATCCAAGAGCGAACAGCTGCTCAGAATGACTTTATTAATACTAAGACAAAAAAGTTCTTAAAGCAAGGACCATGCATGGCATAGACAAAAACTTGCTTAATAATATCCCTTGGTGAAGGTGGCAAGGAAGTTCCAAGGGATCTGTCCTGAGATTTTGCCAGATGGTCCAAAATATTTGCACGGAAGTATGCTTTTAGTCAACAGGCATGAGAGTGTTGGCATCAAATTTTTTGTTGTTGTCATCTTCATAGGAAAAAGATAGTCCTGTTATAGCTTTATCTTGATTATTCAAGCAGCTCTGCATCTTTTTAGATGATCTCAAATCAAGTGTATGTCCTTGGGGAAGTCTCTGTTGATCTCAGATTAGTTCAGTGTCATCTGTTGTAAATTCTCATGGCCTCATGAACTTTTCCTGCAAAGCGCTTGCCCCAGTTGTAATTTTCTGTGCATTTGTGTAACTATAGGATCAATGTTGGTTCCTCTAGTTGGCTGCTGGCTGCATGAACCCAGGGGCCTCATCTGCATGCCCACCAGATCCTTAGCACCTAGCTGGGGCATGGAGTTGAGGTTGGCAAACTGTGGTTCTGGGCAAAATCTGGCCCCATTGCCTGTCTTGGTAAACAGAGTTTTGCTGAAACACAGCCATACTCCTTTGTTAACATATTGTCAGTGATTGCTTTTGTACTATAGTAATAGAGCTGAGTGTTTGCCACTGAGGCCATCTGACCCAGAAAGTCTATAGTATTTTCTTTCCTGCCCTTGACCAACTCATGACAGACAGTAGACAGTAGACAGAACATTTTGCTGAATGACAAAAGGAATAAAAATTCAAGACCCATGATCTAGTTTAACTCCCTTTGGTCATCTAGGGAACATGAGAGTAGAAGTGGGAGAAGAATAAGGGAGGCAGCCCACTTACCGACTTCTGGGGGTGTTTAGGGAAGAAGGGAGATTGGTCAGCAAGGCAGGACAGCAAAAACTGGGCCACTACCAGAGCCAAGTACAAGTAGGTTGACAGGTGGCGGAAGGGGTCGCTCTGAAATCCCTGTGGGACAAAAAGCAGAGAGGTTCCATGAGTCAGCTCAGGCAAGGTGCCTATCTGGGGCCTGTGAGGAGGGAGCAGAGGCTGGGCCGAGGAGATTTGTTAGGAGGGGGAAATGTTGAGGCTGAGCATGGATTCTGATGTCAGGAACAGCACCCAAGCAGGGGGCCTGTGTCTCTGCCTTCCTGGCTGTCCATACGGGTGATCAGCCGAAGAGTTTCCCTTTGCCAGGTAACAACTGGTCAGAGCAGCTGGGACATGATTTGAAGGGACACTGCCTTTCTCCTGGTGCCGCAGAGGGAATTGTTTCTCTCCTCCAGCCCCCCACGCCACTCTCCCACCTGTGGCCTCTCGCCCAGTGTTCTCTAGCTTGAGACAGGAACTGGTCTTACTGCGCATTTACTCTGCTGTGGGCCCACGCACTGTCTCATTAAGTCTCTCTCTGCTCTTAATCCCAGTCAGGATTCACTTTTTGTGTTTTCCCTGTGGGGAAACCACAGGTTCCAAGGAGTGATAGTACTTTGCTCAAGGGCACACAGATGATCTGATCCAGATCATGAGTTTGTGCATTGAACTATGAAATGATTGCTCTGGGGCTGCTGCCACTTCTGGCCAGAGAAACATTTCATGGCCCATGCTCAGGCGTGTGCTTTATGCAGAAATGACTCCTTCCAGGGGTGGGCAGGTGGCTGAACTCTGACCTTCCAGGGGAGTATGTTCCATCCAGTCCTCTACTCCTGTGTTGGGAATGGACACAGGACCCCCACCAGGCCAGGGTGAGTCCATCTCCTTGCCACTCATCTAGAACGAAGCTAACACGCAGAGCCAAGAGACATGGAGTTCTTTGCGCCTGGACCAGCTGCACCCCAGGATCCTATGTGTACCTGCTACATGCAAGAGCGAAGACATCCCCGTGGGTTTTTTTTTAAGATTTATTTTATTTATGCATACAAGAACTGGGGTGCAGGCCCAGAGGTACAGGGGGTGAGAGGATTCCCCAGAGTGGAGAGCAGAACAGGCAGATCTACTGAAATACACTGCTGAGGGGAACAGTGAGGGGAGACAAGAGAGGTCTGCTGCACCGTGTGGGTCACTACCTGGCCAGGGATCGAACTCATGCTGTAGTGGCTGTGACAAGCTTCACAGTGCTGCACTTTAACCCATTGTACCACCAGGGAGAGCTCACCCTGTGGGTTTTCCCCCCTTAAATTAGTGTAAGTTAACTTTTTGTGACTCAAAACAGAGCCCTAATTTCAAATCACAATTCCTCTGTTTATTTTTATCATTTCCACCCCCCCACCCTGATAATTGACAATTTTATACTCCAACAACATTTGGAGCCACTTTCCCCATTCTACCATTTTTACCATTGCTTCTAAGGAAAGTTTACCCTGAATTTGGTGCAATGTAGCGTTACTATTTGGTTCAAGAAATGATCTGGGGCTATATATCCATATATATTTTTTTCTTTTTTTTTTCTACTTCATTCTTCATTTTGTACATTTTTTTTTTTTGTCTTGGTTGTAATCCCTGTGGGCTTCCCACCACCAATATGCAAGAGGTTTTCAACTGGGATAATTTTACCCCTTGGAGGACTTTGGACATTGTAGACATTGTCCTCCCCAAAGGGGGGGTGTTTCTGGCATTTAAGTGGGTGGAGGCCAGGGAGGTACAACACCCTGCAATACACAGGGAAGCTTTTCCCACCAATAGAATTATCCTGCCCAGGCCCTCCCTGGTGGCGCAGCACATTGGAGCGCTGTACTGCGAAGCTAAGCCAAGCTGTGACTGCTTCAGTGCGAGTTCGATCCCTGCCCCGGAGGTGACCCACATGGCACAGCAGACCTTTCCTGACTGCCCACTGCTCCCCTCAGCAGTGCACTTTGTCAGTTGGACTGTTCTGCTCCCACTCTGTCTGGTGAATCCTCTCACCACCCCTGCACCTCTGGCCTGTACCCTAGTTTTGTATGCACAAATAAATCTTTAAAAAGAAAAGAATTACCCTGCCCAAAATATCTGGAATGCTGAGGTTGAGAGACCCTGGCCTAGGCGATCTGATATTCTCCTTTTTGCAGATTAATGATCCATCATGACTCCCAGCATGAAAATGCTTCATGTCAGGAAGCAGATACATGGGTGTGAGTGTGTGAATGTGTGTGTACAAGCAGTGTGTAAATACATGCGGGGAGCAGGGGTGAGGGTGAGAATGTGAGAAGAGGGAAGCGTACATATCGATTGGGAGTGTGCTCAGGGTGCCTGTGCCGTGCAGGTGTGGCAGATGTGTGAGTGTGTGTGGCCACGGGAGTCTGGTCTGTTTGTGCTCAAGACATGTGTGGGCTTGAAGGCAGGATCACAACGGAGTGGCATCAGTGTGAGTGGGTGTGTACCTCTGTGTGTGTGAGGTGTTTTGGAATCTTTGGTTGTGGGATGCATGAACATATACATGCATGTCTGGTGTGTAAGTAAAGTGTGCGACGAGTAAAGTGTGCAAGACAACGGGAATGTGTGTGGATAAAAAAATGTACGGCGTGATGGACACTTTTAGGTGAGCGGCTCGTTTGAGCTTAGTCATGGGATGCGTCTCTGTGTAGAGAATAAATGAAGAAAGGAGGAAACATGGACCCTTGCAAGGCCTGCGACGGCCATACTGGCTTCCCCAGATGGCCCAGACCTGCACTTACCCCTTGAGAGACCTGCTGGGCGATGCTGGTAGCTGGAAAGACAGAGCAGAGCAGCCAGAATCCAAAGAGCACGCCGGATGTTTGGACCCCCTTCTTCCTCTCCATGTGGATCACAAACACAGCCAAGCTCTGGACAAGAGTCAAGGCGGGGAGGACTCTTGGGTGGGGGGCGGGAGGGCAGAAGAGGAATACAGAAGGGAGGCGTCCCGCTCGGCCCCACACCCTGCACCAGAGCAGGAGATGCTGCAGCAAGCCGGTGAGGCTGGGGGTGTTACCATGGTGGTGAGCCACACAGTGGGGTGAATGAGGAATTCTGGCGCCTCAGGCATTCCCCGCTGGATTCTCCAAAGAGCAGTGGACACGCTGGAGGTGCCCAGGAGTATGAGGGCAAACACAAGCACCTGGAGAATAGGTTTCGGTAAGGCGGTGAGTGAACAGAAAGGTGACAGCAGACTGGACAAGGACCCCACATCCATTTGGATGGTGGCTCTAGGTGGGGCTCTGGACAATGTCAATGTCATAACTTAACAAGTGCAGAGGTGACGGGTGGGTTAGACAGTTAGGGGGTATCGAGGAAGGATCTTGACCTGGAAATGTCAAGCAAGTCATGCATCTTGGGGCCCTGAACCAACATGGTGTTTTCCAGATGGTGGGAGACACTCCCATAGGGCACAGGAGTAATGACCTTGGGGCCAAAGGAACCATGTGCAACCGAATTTACCCACTGGGGTGAAGCTATACCCTCCTCAAGGCTCTTTGAGTCCCTGCTGTTAAATGAGGAGATGATCCCTGTTGGTCCTCTCTAGCTGTGTGTCTCTCTGAACAAGAGGGAGCAAGAATGTGAGTGTTGCCATGCAGCAGAGGAGGCCAGACTGGGGCATCACTTTGGGACACCTGCACTTAATCTAAAGTTGGGATTAAGTGCACTGTCCTACAGTGGCTGAGTTTGGCTGTTTCCTATGGCCTATGAGCTAAGAGTGGTTTGGATACTTTTCAATCGTTGAATAAAACTCAACAACAAAAAAAATTCAATATGTCACAATGTTTGCAAATGATGTGAATTTCAAAATGTAGTAATTATAAATAAAGTTTTATTGAAGCACAGTCCTGTCTGTTTGCTGTTGTCGGAGGTTGCTTGCCTGTAGAATGGAGAAGTTGGGCTTTACGTTACCTGCAAAGCCTCAAATGTGTGCCCTTTAAGGCAGAGAGTGCTCACCCCTGCATAAGTGCTTGGCAATGGAAGGAAAATTAATTGACACCCATGGGAACAAATGAATGCATGCATGAGTGAATGGGGATAGAAATGAATGAACCTTGAAGAATATTCGCGTAGAAGTTTGGAGAAGGGGATAGACGAGAGGAAAGGCAGTACTTACCTAATACACCGAAATTAACACAATTGTAACAACTGCTCTAGTTCTTCTAGAGGTGGAAACCTACACGCCAATGCATAACTGTGAAAACTTTTTAAAGTCTCATCCTAGTGTGGGACCACTGGGGTACACCCCAGGAATACACACTGTACACTTTGGGGGATGGCAGGTTAGGGTTCCAGAAACTGTACAGGGCTATGTGTGTGGGGGTGACATGGAGGCAGATGGGAACTCTGTAGCCTCTGGAACACCCCTCTGTTTGATGAACAGGTGCTATTCTTGCCCCCTGCCCCCCGAGTGCTCCTTGAAAGGAGGAGTATTTACTTTGGGATCTCCCCACCATTGTCTGGCTCCAGAATCCCAAAGGCAGGATCTACCATTTTGGCCTTGAAGAGTGGGGACATCCGGATGTAGCCCTTGCCATGGCGGTGGAGGTAGAGGAGGTAGATGGGGCCGAGGACCCAGAGGTACAGGGGGGGCACCCACACTCCTACTGTCCTCAGGAAGCACAGGCTCAATAGGTGGGCAGCAGCAGGCTCAGATTCCGTTTGGTTCCAGACCTGAGGAAACAGCAGGATGCCCTTATGATGGTATAGCACAGGGGTCCCTGAGTCACCTGCTTGGAAGGCAGGCAACTTTTTGGATGTCCTCCCCAACATTCACATGAAAATATAGCAATGGGTCCCTCCCTGGTGGCGCAATGGATTAAAGTGCTGCACTGTGAAGCTAGTTGCAGCTGCTTCAGGGCAAGTTCTATCCCCGGCCAGGGAGCTGACCCACAGGGCACAGCAGACCTCTCCTGTCTCGCCTGCTGCCCCCTCAGCAGTGTATTTCAGTAGATCTGCCTGTTCTGCTCCCCACTCTGTCTCTGTTGAATCCTCTCACTGCCCTTGCACCTCTAGCCAGTTCTTATGCATAAATAAATAAATCTTTAAAAAAAAAGAAAATACAGCAACGACTCTGGTGTGCCTTCCTAATGATCCACTCCTTTAATCCCAACATCAACCCTAAAAGATAGATGCAGTTATCATATTGCTTTGGCAGTTGTGCATGATGAGGTCCAAAGAGGTTAAGTCACTTGATGGTTGTGACCCAGCAGGAAAGTGACAGTGTTGGAGTTGGAACCACGATGGTTGGGTCCTGGAGCCTGCAAGACCCAGACTTCATGGTGAGTGCTGGCATGGACGGTCACATAAACCTTACAACACCTTCAGAGGTAGATGCTACTGTCCCATTTCACAGGCCCAGAAATGGAGGCATGGAGAGGGTGACAGCCTCTCCAAACAAATAGGAGGTGACAGAACTGGTTTTCACAAAGGCCTGTTGGACCCCAAAGCCTGCTCTACTGGGGGTGTTTATCTGTGATTCTCCACTCAGTCCCTGTGCCAACCTGCTCTAGCCCTGGAAGAAACTACGGTAGGAAGTTCAGAGGGCACAGGTGATTTAGCTCCCTCCCTACTGTGTTATGGCCTTCCCACCTCCACCAGTTTCACCACACACCTGCTGTGTGAACCCCAACCTCTCTGTGCCTCAGTTTCCTCCCCTGCAAGCGGGGGCTAGTAACAGAATCTACCTCTGATGGCTCCATTAGATGAGTTAATAACTGAGTTGAGAGCATGCAAGGATGGTGGGCACAGAGTAAGCCTCAATTAACGTGGACTATTATTATTGTCTTAGGATCCTGACCCCTGAATGCCTGGGAGTTTGCAACCTTAACTCCCCACCCCCACTGCATGAGCTCCACCCCGCAGAGTCCTTTGCTAAGAGCCAGTTGAGAAAGGAAGCCAGAGAGGTGGCAAAGGTAGGGATTCCTGAGCTTGTGCAAACAGAAGTTTAAGCACCCCATGCCTGGGAGGCCTGGAGGCCCCTTTAACTGGGCTCTGGGGGAGAGGGGTTCAGCTTGATTAAAGGGGTCATCCTGCCCCTCACAATTGGTCCTGCTGGCCTCTTCCCTTTTCAGGGACTAGAATTTGGGAGGTCTGTGCCCTCCCTAATATTGCAGTCAGCTAGCTAATAAACTCCCAAAAAGGAGGGGGGCACTCACCTCCCGGCTAGCACAGGGACCTCCAGGCGCGGCCATCAGGGAGCCAGTGGGTCACTCAGGAGTCTGTGGTCTGTGGGTCAGTCCTGGGCAGCCTCTTCCATAATGCTCTGGCCAGGGAAGGGGCAGGAGGGCCGACAGGCTGGCGGGGATTCGCGCTCAGGGATTTCCAGGCTGGGGGCAAGGTCCAGTGGCTGCATGCCAGGAGGGTGGGGCAAGAGGGGTGAAGCCCACACAGCAACCTGGTAGGGGATCCTGGAACCCCAGAAAGTGCCATGGCATTCCCCTCAAACTCTCCTGTCCCAGCAGAGGTGTCATCTCAAACTTTCAGAACACTTCGGACTTGGACTTGGCGACTGCAGGAATTTTAACCATGAAAACACGCAGCAGGGGTGTATTTGTGTAGCCTAGGGGGGAGGGGCACCTGGTTAAGGTGGACAAAGGACTGTCCATGGACTTCCCAGACCTCTAGGGTGATGGGAAGAGCTTAGGAAGATTACAGCTTTCCCACTCTGCCCCCATCTGAAGCAGAGTCTTCCCATGAAAACTTTTGCTAACTGAAGCAGCCTAAAGTGAAGACGCAATTACTGTTCATGTGTAAGGAAAAAAATCGGAGCTCTCCTAGATCCAAAATAGCAACTTAGCAAATCACACCACATAACAAACAAAGCCTAAACCAACACAAACATTTTGCAAAAGCAGAAGTGACATGATCAACAACACAGCCCAGAAACAGGGGAGTTCAGGGTGGGCCATTCTAGAAAGCTGCCTTTAAACAGTGGCTTGTCAACAAAGGCTTGAGGTTGTTTTTGCTTTCCCCCTTTTGTTATAAAAGCAAATATCCTCTTAGGATTTCCTTTAGTTAGTGAAAACAGGGATTAATGTCAGTCTTTTTTAAAAAGATGTGGTCGAATGTGAACTTTCATAGACAGCACCAATTATCTGCACTAATAAAGAGTGTAGCACAGTGGCCAGTCAGAAAATGCGCAGGAAGAGTGAGCTCTGTTAGCATTAGTATCACGTCATCCATAGGTTCCTAAACATTTGGCTCAAAGTCTCACTGTAGAAATATATGCCCTGGGAAAGAGGGTTGCTAAATGCCAAGTAAAAAAGTATGTGGGGCCCTCTCTGGGGGTGCAGCGGGTTAGGGCACAGCACTGCTAGCCCAGGTGGCTTCAGTGTGAGTTCGATCCCCGCCCAGCCCCGGAGCTGACCCACATGATGCGGCAGACCTCTCCTTACCTGCCTGCTGCTTCCTTCAGCAGCATATTTCAGTAGATCTGCCTGTTCTGCTCCCCACTCTGTCTCTGGTGAATCCTCTCACCACCCCTGAACCTCTGGCCTGTACCCCAGTTCTGTATGCACAAATAACCAATCTTAAAAAAAAAAAAAGTATATGCTGAAGCTGAGGGAAATGGGGAAGGAATCAAGTCATTTACCTTCCCCTCCTGAGTCTTAAGGTGTTCCCCCAGACACTTGTTCTTTCTGGGAAATCCTCTGTGTAACACACACACATATAGATAAAATGTTGGAAATGCACTGGCAGTGATTATGAGGCACCCCACTTTTGTTTTCTCTTCTTTTGTAAGGAGCATATCTTTCTGTTAGGATAAGAACAGAAGATTCAGTTGCTTCAGACAGACATCAGAGGTGACCACTTTGGACAAAGAATGAAAGTCCTCCTTGTTTTTCACTCTGCCTTGTGGCCTTTTGGGATCTTGTCCTCATATTTTATTCCAGCCTCCTTTGGGGCCTCCACAGTGTGGGTTCTGTGGCCCAATTTCCTTCTCTCTCTTTGAGTGCCCCTCAACCCTATCTGGCCCAGGCAGTATCTACTCAGTGTTCTTGCCTGGTCTTCTGGAAGAGTAGGAGAGCCTGAGTGTGGCTGTTCTTTTTTACATTTAATTCACCCCTATTTAGTAAAGATAGATCTGTTTATTAAAAATAGATGATGGGGGTCTGCCCTGGTGGCGTGGTGGTTGGAGTGCTGCACTGTGAAGCTCAGCCAAGCTGTAGCCACTTCAGTGCGAGTTCAATCCCTGCCCCGGAGGTGACCCACATGTCACAGCAGACCTCTCCTGTCTCTCCTGCTGCTCCCCTAAGCAGTGTATTTTGTTCATCTGTATGTTCTGCTCCTCACTCTGTTTCTGATGAATCATCTCACTGCTTCTGCACCTCTGGCTTGTACCCCATTTCTGTATGCATAAATAAATAAAATCTCTAAAAAAAAATAAAGATAGATGACGGAAATTATGGGAAGGTTCCAGCTTCCTCCCCCTCCTACCACCTTCTTCTTCCATTGGCATTGCCATAGCTCCAGTGCTTTATTGTTCTCTGCATTTGAAGATGCACTTGAGAATGGTGGGCATTTGAGGAGGAGTGGTCATGACATTAGAAAGACCACAAAGGGATTTAGCTGGAATGAGCCAAGGGCAAAAGCTCAGATACTTCAAAGCCTACTTACCAGTTTTCTGAAAAGCAGATGGTTGTGTGTAGAGAGACTTAGCCAAATCCCTTTTCTTCTCTGAGCTTCAGTGTCTGTGTCTTTTCAGTCTTTTCATTCTGGTATCTCCTAAACTGGTGGCTTTCAACCCTCTGCTGATTTGTTAAGACAAACCAGAGGCCACCTTTCAATTGTGGCTATAAATACAAATCCTAATAAATAAAACAATTATGTAAATAGTCTCTCTTTTTATTTGAACAGTTGACAGTCTTCTCGAGAAAGAAGGCAGACTGGAAAATCTACCACCAGATTGCTCATGACTGAGATCCTCCATGGGGGTGTCACTTGTCACACATGTAGCCACAGCAAAGACTTTGGCCAGAGTATAGTGTTAAATCCTTGAGATTTACTGTTGTCTATTGCTTACGTCTTAGCAAATTCTTGAGAGGAACTCTTTTTCTTTCTTTCCTCATTATTTAGAAACAAAATATGAAAACTACCCCAAAACTGCTTTTTTTTTTTGTAAAAAGGGAGCAAAATGGAATGATTTCAAAGATCAGTTTAGAAAGACAAATTTTGGGTCGATTTTGGTATGCCTTGTGGCTAAATCAGTCCACATTATGGTATGTATTTGGTCTTGGAATGAAATACAACAAGTCAATATTTGGACTGCTTTTTGGGCAAATAATTCTTCCTTTCAGCTTTCATTTGAAGTTAATATGACTGTATGCACTTCTTGCTTTGGGAAGAACTCTCACATATTTTTTTTTTTCTGTACTATTATTAAAGTCGCAAGTAAAATACATTTTAACTATATTAAAAAGATATGATACTGCATAGAAATGGCCTATCTATGGCTTAAAAGTGTTTATTGATCATTTATCAAGGGGGGAAAAATGCACCAATACACAAATTCTAAAAGGTTTTTTGTGATTATATATCACCTGTGAAATATGTCAGTTAAAAAGATTCGGGAAAGTTGCTGGCTACTCTCATGGACAATCTCAAGTCCCTTCCAGTTTGACTGACACCGAATTCCAAAGTGTTGCGTAAGTACGTGTGGGGGTTGGGGGGCTGGGACTTCCTTCAGGCCACTGCATCTGTCAGACTGAGGCCCCCGGAGTCCTCCAGGCCTCGAGGGGGCACAGACGGGCTGGTTTCCTTGTCGCGCATGCGCCGCAGATATCTTGTCAAGGGGGCGTGGGCTTGGGACGGGACGCGCACGCGCACTGGCGGCGGGGCGGTCTTGGGCTGTCAGCTTCTGAAGAGGAGGAAGCTACGGGCGGCGCGCTGTGTGAGGGGCGGGACCCGGAGGCCTGCGGAGGGTCGGGCGGCCGAGGCCGGGCCATGCGGGCGTCCCGGGGCGCGGGTCCGCTGGGGCGGGTGGCGGCGGCCGCCGCTGTGCTGCTGCTGCTGAGCTGTGTGGGGCCGGCGCGCGGCTCCGAGGACATCGTGGTGGGCTGCGGGGGCTTCGTCAAGTCGGACGTGGAGATCAACTACTCGCTCATCGAGGTGAGCGCCCGCCCCCGCGGTCCGCGCCGCGGCTGTGTGACCCGGGCCTGACGCTCGCCCTCTCTGGGCCGCTTCTGACACCACGCGGTTCAACTGCCCAACATTCTGGGAGTCCTCTCCTCTTTTAGGGCTCCGCTTTCTGCGGACTCCCCATATCTCGCTGAGCGGGAGAGGAGGGTCTCACGGTGGGGTCTGCCACCGATTGGGGGTGGGGGGGTCCTGGCTGTGGGTATGGGCGCCGGGCTGCAAGGGACTTTTATTCGGTGATGGCGGTTCATATAATTTTATCTGCTCACTCACACCCAAGGTCCCGCCCCGCCCCACCCTCAAGGAGACCACAGAGTCTTCAAGCCCAAAATCCAGATCCTCAGAATCCAGATCCAGGATGACCGGAACCCTGACAGTTCCCAGAAAGCAGATCCCAGATCTCTTAAAATTCAGTCTCAGAATAAAACCCTGATTCCAAATCCCCCAGAAAACCTAGACCCCCAGTTTTCAAAACTTAGACCTCAGATCTCTCAGGATCAGATCCGGGAAACCCAGATTTCCCCAACTCAGAGCCCCAAAAGGTCTGTCCACTTCTCCAGACCCCGTGGGATGCTTTTAGAGACCATTAATTTCCTTCCCAGGGATCCTGACCCAGTAAATCTTCTCGGAAGCCTCTGAGGTTGGGGGTCTGCACTTTTAAGCTCCCCCTAGCCTGCTTGGGTCTCCTTCCCCAGTGAGAACGCAAAGTTGCCAGCTGTCCTGATTGCTATACTGGGTAATTGTTGGAATTACACTAGAGATTTGTGCAGCAGCCCTTTTATTACCCTATAAAGCCCAATTATCAGCCTGGTAGAATGATGACCCAGCAAGCTTTTGTGAAGAGGGAGGGAGGCTGGTTGACAGAGGAGGTAAGAGTAGAAGGTCACTTGTCAGGGTAGAAAGGGCCTTGAGGGAGAGCCGGCGCTTCATTTTGGAGGGTCCTGATGATGGGGCAGAAGAGGATTTGAGAGGAAAAAAGGAAGAGGTTAGAAGCTGAGAATGCAAAAGAGAAGGGACTGGGTGGGAACTGAGACTCCACGGCAGTCTGAGATCTCCTTTCTTTCCATTCTAGGAGGGCTGCAGTCAAGACTTGAGCGTCTTAGAGCAAGTTGCTGAGGATTGGGGGAGGGGTAGGAAGTAGATTCCACACCCCACTAGCTCTTTGACCCTGGCTTGGCCCAATTTGTTGTCTTGAAAATGGCGTTGGAGAGAAGCATACCCAGTACCAGATGTTTCTTAAAGAAGAGAACTGTCACCATCAAGGCTTCTGAGCCATATTTTGGTCATAAGAAACCAGGTGTTTAGCGTTTATAACCCCCTGCCAGTAGCCGGGCTCCTAAGAGCTGCTGCGCCCCTGTGCCACCTCCTGGATGGCCTCCCAGCGAGTGGGCACAGGGTATTTCTTAAGTTGCCTTGAAAGGCTTTGCGTCTTAGAGTTTCCTGGGGCTTCACACAGAAAGTGAAGGAAGAGAAGTTAGAGGCAAACACTTAACAGTCACCTGAGGAGCAGTGAGCAGGTTTTGTGACCCACCATGAAGTGTGTTCGCTGAACTCTATCCAGATGGTGTGGAACATTCATTCTTTCATAATATCTGGTTGTGAAATCAGATATTTCATATCTGTAATGTATATTGCCATCCTGTGTCCTTATCTACACTTTATGAAAGAAATGTAAATAATCAAGATATTTCACAGTCATTTCTTTTTAAATTTTAACTTATTTATTCTTAAAAACTGGGGTGTGGCCCAGAGGTGTAGGGGGGATGTGAAAGGATTCACCAGAGACAGAATGGGGAGCAGAACAGGTGAATCTACTGAAATATACTGCTGAGCAGCAGGCGAGACAGGAGAGTCTGCTGTGCTCTCTTGCGCCATGTGGGTCAGCTCCCTGGCTGGGGATCAAACTGGTGCTGCAGTGGCTGGCAACAGCTTCATAGTGCTGAGACTTAACCCCTGTGCCACCAGGGAAGCTCCACAAACATTTCTTGATGGTTTTCTGTGTTTCAATAAAGTTACCTTCTCCAGCCTACCTACAATGAATCCTGCCCCTAACTGTGAGCTATAAGCTGTGGCCCTGGGGAAGTTGTAGTCTATATGTTTTTTCTCCAAGTGTACACATTTTGAGTTTGCTGTTTATATACCTTTTACCGGTATAACTATATTATTTCCTTGTTATGGTCACATGTTAAGATTTTAGCAGTGAGGCTCTTAGATGTCTTTAGATCCAGCTGCTTCCTTTTACAAATGTAGAAACTGAGGCTTGGAGTGGTTGAGCCAGGCAGGCTTAGGAAACTCTGTGAATCCAGTCTGCCTGCAGTGTATGGCCATGTCTTCAAAGAACGGCTTAATAGTAATCCAGACTGCTTTTGCTGAGTCTGTACTCTGCCAGCTGCTTAACAGGCATGAATAGGACTCCCTGTGCCACCATCAAGGTCACCGGCTCTTTTTACTCTTCAAGAAATGAAACCTCAGAAGGTTACGGGACTCGTGCGAGGTGGCACAGTATTTGGAAGACCCAGACATTTGAACACCGCATGAGTCCAAGTTTGTATCTGGGCATGCTCAGGGTGCAAGAGTTTTAGAGAGTTCTTGAGTAAATTGTGTTGATACTGTTTTTGTCCTTAGAATGAAAAGAGAAAATTAGAAGTTTCCGTCATCTGCTGTTAATTCAGCTCCCTGGCCCTTACCCCCGAACAGAAGTGGCACTCAGAAATAGTATGCTGACAAGGACCTACTAACAGCAACATTTGAAAATTTCTTTTAGACCCAGAAACAACAGAGAGACAGCCACTAAAATGAGCTGTAAAACACTGAAAAATAGACTGTTGGGGTCAACTTTAGATGACTTTAACCTGAAAGCTGTCAAATCATATTTAGGGACACGTTGTCTTATTCCTCTGTCCCCAATGCCTGATGTCAAGCAGTGTGTAGTATGGCAGGACCTCAGCACATGCGCACTGACTTGGAATGTGTGCAAGGTACAGTTCTTACCTGTGTGACTTCCTTGTTTCCTTACTCTAGGCACGTGGTAAGATTTTAGCGGTGAGGCTTTTAGGTGTCATCCGACCCAACTGCTTCCTTTTACAAATGTAGAAACTTGAGATATTATGACTGCTCTAATTCCCTTCCTTTCCAGATAAAGCTGTATACCAAGCATGGGACTTTGAAATACCAGACAGACTGTGCCCCTAACAATGGTTACTTTATGATCCCCTTGTATGATAAGGTAAGAAGAAAGGTACTTTATTCATGTACATTAGTCTTTTACTATGGGGCGTAGTTGGTGTGCCCACAGGGCCAACCGCACCAGCCGGGAGGATGGCCTTTCCCTGTGGGGGCAGATGCTTGCCTGCTTTGTAAGTTGCACCCGGCATAGGACGGTGCTGGCCAAATTCCAGCATCACGGCTTAGAAGCTGACTTGACTGCATATAGTGGTTCCCCATTGTTTCCACTGGCAATGCCTGGAGACACCCCTGGTGGTCACTGTTGCGGGAGAGAGTTCTGCAGGCCCCTGGCGAGTAGAGACCAGAAATGGAGCCCCAGTCTGGTCACACTGTGTAGCACAGCCAAAGTGCCAAGGGCGAGAAAACGTGATCTGCCAGAGTCTGGACTTGCAGGCAACCTGGAAAGTCGCTGAAAACATCTTACAAACAGTGTAAGAATGTAGGAGCCTTGGAGCAAAACAGTGAGATTTTCAGAAGTATAGATTTCATCCTCTGCCCCCACCCCGTGCAGATCCCTTTGTGTGACAGCCCCTAATAGAAGCTGTGGTGTGTGTCCTGACATTGCTTTCTTGAGATCTGGGGTAACACAGGCACCGTGACTGTCCACACTCCTCCCCCTGCCCGTGGCCACACGTTAACACGGATCAGTATGTGCCCACCCAACTTCCTCACGTTCCACCTTTTTACTTGGAAAAAATAGATTTGCCAGAGCTATGAAGACGGTCCATGTACACAGTTTTCATGTTGACTTTTTGGTTATAATTGGAATCAAGCGATAGGAATGACTGTAATTTGTTTTCCCTGTGCATAAGTTCTCGGCACTCTCTCAACACCAGCATCTGCAGACCTGCCGCCTGCCTGTAGTGGCTGCTGAGCAAGTCCCTGGGGGCCATGGTGCTGTGTGCTGAACTGCCACTCTGGTGACAGGCTTTCCCCCCGGTTTACAGCTCCTGTTACCACCACCAACTGCACACACACTTGAACTTGTATGTGTGTGCATGGTAGGATTGGTTTCCAGAGATTAACTAGCTGGATCTTGACTTTTTTTTCGATTATTACTAATATCAGCCTCATGAAGCCAGTGTAAAGGAGTAAAGTCTAGTTTTGAGAAATGACTGTTTCCTAAAGAGACCTGCTGTCCTGGGGCATGTGAAGGCCTAATCCGAGACTCAGTAATAGGTGTTTGGTATCAGAAGACAGTGAGTAGGGCTGAGTGCAGTGCCTGGCCCCTTGGACTGGGTTTTATCTGGAACTTTCTGCTGTTCAGTTTCTGGTGTTCAGCTTACCCCACCTGAAGGGGAACAGAGATTCCTCAACCACTTACAGGAGACAGCTTACACCTAGAATTCTCTTCGTGTCTAAACGCTCAATTAAATGATAGCACTGACTTACACTAACCTAGCAGAAGCGTCATCAGTTCTCATTCCTTTATATTTTCCCCTCTTAGGGAGATTTCATTCTGAAGATCGAGCCTCCTCTAGGGTGGAGTTTCGGTAAGTTAACTGATAACTAGATGAGACGTACTGTGTAAAGGATAAAATTAGGTGCTGGCCGTTGTATTCAGGGTTCCTTTGTAGTGCAGCAGAGGCCCGCCCTCACCCCTTCCTTCATCACTTCGGAGTCAGTTGGACTGGATTTACCTTCGATCTACCGTAAGGCCTCCTATGTCAACCTTAGACTTGGCATGTTTTCCTTCTGTAGTTTAAGTGGCGGCAGAATGGGCTGTAGAGGTCAGGAGAGGAAACTTTGCTCCTATCTGAGGGTGGCGTCTTTCTTAGGCCCCTCGGTGGTGTCTAGTGAGTTAATTGCAGCACTTAAACATGGTGAGATTTGACTGCTTCTAGAGCAGAGGTTCTGGCAGCCTTGGGCTTTATCAGCTCTGTGACAACTTGGGACATGTTACTCCCCCGGGCTGGCCTCCCCCACAGGCAGCCAGGAGAGCTTAGTCCCTGCCGAACAGGCTGTGGGAGGATTAGTGGGTCCATGCATTTATGTGTGCAGAGTGACTGGCCTATCATTAACAGTTAATCGGGAAATGTTTGAAAGTAGGCCTTCTGTGCCCACACAGACAAAGCTCAAAACTCTGCTGAGATAACTGCATTTTAGAAAAGTTGGAGAGCTGGGATTGAGATCAGAAGAGAGTCTTCTGCCTTGACTTGGTGTTTTTGGAGAGGAGAGATTCTAGGTATTTCTGTCGCGTGCATTGTATGAGCCCTGTAGCCTGGGGAGAGGAGCGGGTGCCCTAGTTGTTCCATCTGTTTGCTGGTGAGCTAAGAAAGAATTCAAGCCCTGCCCCTGGCTAGTCCATTCCAGAAAGCTGGAGGGGAGTCAAAGCCAACTGATAGTTAGAGCAGCGGCGACAGTCCAGGAGACTGTTCGTTTAGCCCCCACCCTCCTGTCATGGCTTTTTCTTTTGATAAGCTTTTTTGAAGAATTGTACTTCCAGAACAGTGTGCTCAGCCTAAGGGTGGCACTTTGATGAATTTTCACAAGGTGCACAGCAGCCAGATAATGAGCAGACTTTTGCCAGTACCCAGAGAAACCCCAGGCCAGCACCCCACCCCACAGGGGACCGCCACCCTGACCTTCTAAAATTGTGGGTGGGTTTGTCTGTCTTGGATGTTATATAAATGGAATCCTGAAGGTACATTTTTGTCTGGCTCTGCGTGCATAGCTCTGGTTAGCTTACTTGGTGTAATAGATGTTCACTCCTTTGAATGCTGACAGACACTTGGGCTGGCCACGGGGAAGAGTGCCTGTGGGTATTCTTGCCGTATCTTTTGGTGCAGGCGTCTCTGCTTTTCCGCTGAGTGGCTGCTAAGTGTTCAGTTGCTGGACAACAGAATTTTTCTCTGTTTAGCTCTGGCAGATGTTGCCAACCATCCACATACAAGGTCCAGCAACTTCTGCTGTCCCGAGAACAGGTTCCAGCTGCTCCAGCCCTCCCCCATGCTGCGTATGGTGGGTGTTTTCATTTCACTCGTGCTGGTGGGGACGTGGTGGTCTCTTGTGGTTTGGATCTGCATTTCCCCGGTGCTCAGGAGACTTGCCAGTTTTCCATTTGTTTATTGGCCATTTCGATACTGTCTTCTGCAGGGTGCATGTTTAAGTCTTTTGTTCATTTTTCTAGGTAGCTTCCCATGTGCGCTGTGTATGCTTCATTTTACCTGAAATTCTCTTGATGTTTCCATTTTTTTCTGTACCTAAAACTCCACATTCCTCTTCATCTTTAAAACCCTCAACTCTAACCCCTGCATCATTAATAATGATGCACCATCCCTTCCCTTCAGTTTTGTTTTTTTTTTTCCCAAACAATTGGTTGCTAGTATTGGAAGGAGGTGGTGCGTAAGATCCAGCTTTCCGGAATGTTGGATGCCCTGGTGACACTGGCCTGTGTGGCTGTCGTGGGATGGCTTTATCATCCCCTCATGGCCTTCTGCTTACCTCTTGCCTGTGTGCTTCCTATGGGCCTTGGTGTCTGTTCCTGGCCTCATGCAGCCAAAGCTGTGCACGTCGTCAGGATGAGCCAGACTTTGGGGGTTGAATTGGAGCTCTGTCACTCACGAGCTCTGTGGCTGTGGGAGATCTCTTCATTTTACTCTGTCTCTGTTTACCCCTCATGAAATAACTGACCCTTTAAGATAGTTGTGAGAATGAACGCACTTAGCTGGGGGCCCAGCCTGTGGTAGACATTCACTAAATACAGCCGCTTGACAGAACTCAACCGAAAGACTATAAAACGTATAGTCTTTGTATGTCCTTCTCTAAACATTGGTTCCTCTGGGGAGGAAACTGGCTGGGTGTCCAGCATCAGGGTACAAGGGAGACTTTTGCCTGCATGCCTCTTTGTGCCTTGGGGCCACGCCAGTGGAGAGCGCTCAACCAATAAATAAAACCAAACAGAACCAATCAACGTGTCTTAGCTAGACGGTATCCCAGAACTAAGCTTGCTCTTGCTTCTTGTTCCCTTTCCTCCCATCCCCACTCGCTCCTCAGAGCCTACCAACGTGGAGCTGTATGTGGATGGCGTCAGTGACATCTGCACAAAAGGCGGAGACATCAACTTTGTGTTCACCGGTTTCTCTGTGAATGGAAAGGTTTGGCTCTGGAACTTTATTTGTCACGTTTGCATGCTACATCTTCTCTTACTTTTAAAAAGCAGGACTTTTTAATCTGGGGCTTTGAGTCCAAGATCAACTTCACAGGAGCTCGATGGAACTGCATGCAAAATGTGGGGGATGTTTCAGGGGTCAGGTCTGGGTAGAGGCTGTTTTTGTGTATAAATACCAGGGGTGACCTGGGCATTTCCCCCCCCCCCCATCCAGTGCCAAGGTTGAGGGGTACCAATTTCCTGGCTCCCTTTCCTGGTGGTGGGTTTCTTCTGAACCTTGGGCCCTGGATCCTGGCTTTATGTGTGGCTTTCTTGGTAGTGATGAGGAGTGAGGGCATTATTTCCTTTCTTAGTAGTTCACAAGATAGTGATGCCTCTTTAACTAATGGTGTCACAAGATAGTGATGCCTCTTTAACTAATGGTGTCAAAATAACAGTGTTTGTTATTTTGCCCTCTCCCTCCCTCCCCAGGCAGGGAATCTGTGATTTCTCTCACCTTTTCAAAGGATTCTATGCCTAAAGTAGGTTGTAAGATCCATGTGGGGAAAGAGCAGGATGGACAGAGTGATGGAGAAGAGAACCTTTCCCTGGGCCCAGTCCAACTTCCTTCTTGTGGCAGGTTCTCAGCAAAGGGCAGCCCCTGGGTCCTGCAGGAGTCCAAGTGTCGCTGAGGAACACGGGGACCGAAGCCAAGATCCAGTCCACAGTCACCCAGCCTGGTGGAAAGTGAGTGATGCCTATGTTGCCTGGGCTGTGAGGGCAGTGAAAGGGGGAGCTTTGGTGTTAGGGAGACCGGGGTTCATATCTTGATTCAGCATCTTAGCTTTGAACAAGTTCATGCCCCTCAGCCTCAAGTGCATGGGCTGTAAAATGGGAGTCACTTCAGCCATGTACCTAATTTCGATGGGGCAGGTAAACACAAGGTAACGCCCATATGGCATGTGATGTAGGCCCAGTACATAGGAGGCTTTAGCTGGCGGCTGAACAGTCAGGCTCTGGGGGGCAGCCAGTCCAGGTTTGAATCCTGACTCCCCCATTTGCTAGGTGTTTGACCTAAGTGTTTGCATGTCATCTCTAGGTCTGTTTTCTTGTTTATAAATGAATATAATCTCAGCACCTAGCTCCCAAGGTTGTTACAAACATTAAATTAATACTATTTCAAACTACCTGGTACTGGAAATTTGCTCAATTTATGTTAGCTCCATTATGACTTTTGAGTCATTCATCAAATATATGTTGTAGTTGGAGCTGATGACTAATTGACCTCACTGAATCAGATTTAAAGCAGTTGTTTACTGCATTTATATGATAGAATTGTAAATGTTAACAGATGCATCAAGATTAATACAGGATAGTTGTACCTGATGATTTTGAAAACATTCAGATTATTACTAGCTGCTTCAACATATAAAAATAAACTGCAAAGTAGAAGTTTTTACATGATTAGTCTGTTGTTAGTCATCTGATTTTTAAGTGATTGTTGAAATACTTCATTTTGAGATAACATTTTCTTCACTTAGTTGATGTCTCTCTAACCCTGTTCTGCAGAAGGAACACAGCACTTTCTTGTTCTCTAGGGCAGCAGTTTGCTATTGACCTAGTTGGGAAAAGTGACTGGAACTTTCTGACTCTCATGTGCATTCACTGAAACGGTGATAGTCATGTGCAGAAACAGAATACTATGAGCATGAAACAGAAGCTAAATCTTAGGCCAAAATCCAATAATCATTCAATTTTATTATAGCAAGGTGGTTTCCAAACCCTATCTAGTTATTAGAGTCAATTTTATTATAGATACAATAAAATAACATAAAAAAAGGAAACCAAATGCTTTTTCATGTTACTGGAATCTTCCCTCTAATTGTCTAGTGCTTTGCAAATTAATGTACTAAAAGTGTCAGACACTGGTGGTAACATTTCCAACCTCAGCTCATCTCACTGCTGTTGCTTTGCCTATAGCCACTCAAGTGTTTTTCCTCAGCCACTGTTTTCTGTCACAGTTGCTTTGCATGAGAGCTCAGGATGACCTTGTATTTATTTCTGGACAGAGGGATCCATTGTGTAGGGGCATTGATGGCATATCACCAGCATCATCTCGATCATGTTGAACCAGTGTCAGCCCATCAGACCTGGTCTTTGTTCCTCATACATAGCCCCTGCCTTCCCCTGTTTTGCACACACCTCCCTTTTCTTGCCTTACCCATGCCTGTCATCTCTGTCAAAATTTGAATATTCTATGACTCGTCCCTGCTAAACTACAGTCACTGGTTTCTAAACCAGAAATCCTCAGGATGAAGGGAAACCCAGCCCTCCTGTGTGTCAGCACAGGGAACCTCTCCCCACACACAGCAAAGCTCCCTGCTCTCCGCTGTGAACCTGTGCCGTGAGGGGTTAGGGTCCATGACACACGCAGGACGGAGCAGTGTCCCACTTGTGACAATTCCAAATTATTCTCCTTGTGTCCAGTGTTTTTTTTATACAATTAAAAACCTTTGGTTTGTTGGAGAAAAGTTAAGTGGTATTTTTATTTCTTAGGTTTGCATTTTTTAAAGTTCTTCCTGGAGATTATGAAATCCTTGCGAGTCACCCAACTTGGGCATTGAAAGAGGTGAGCTTTTCTTTTGTTATCTGTAGCTGTACCAACAACATGCTGGTTTGGGGCTTTCAGGATGTAAAATGAATTTATGGTTTTTCTGGAAGTAGATGAAAAAGCAGTTGTGCTGCTGATTCATTTGGTGATGTTATAAGAGAAAACTTTGCTCACCGAGGCAGATATTACTTACGTTGGTTTCAATTTTAGTTGACAATATTGTCTTCCTGCTGTGACGCTGGTCTGTTTTAACATTAGCTATTTTTGGCTAAATCAACGCTAGAAAAACCTTTTTAGCTGTATTTGCTGTTCTCTTTTAAGTCTGAAACAGCAATCTATAAATACACTAACAGTCTAGTAACTTGTACCTGTGCCAGGGAGAGTGTGCAGAATGTTTACTGCAGCTTTGTTTGCGAGAGCAAAGTATGAAAAACAGCCTTGTCCACTCAGAGGAGCGCGGATCATAGTTTCAACACACGACTGAGGGTGACTTACATCAGTGGGACTACATGGGGAGCTTAAAAGTGGAAAGAGAAGGCAGGTAGCTGAAGGATGAGGAAGATGTTTATATAGCGATTAAAAACACTCCTGAATGTATAGATAAATCATATCGAAAAGCGAGAAGGTCGTGCTGTGATGGCGGCTGCCATGTCTTCCTGGTGCCCACGTCAGCCGAGCGGGGGAGGGGTGTCTTTCTACTCTCATTTCCTCAGCTCGTTAGAATTCAAGTAGGTGTTCTTCGAACTACTCTTTGTGTATGAAATAGTTTATAATAAAAGTTCAGAACAGGAAGAAACATACTAGGTGAAGTTGTGTAATAACAAATGGATTAAAGAAAAGACACTTTGACGTGAGCATTTCTTTAGTTTTGAGGCCCTATCACCATTGCATAAAGAAGCATCTGGATTAGAATCTCAATATTACAGGTTTTATGCATTTATGATTGATACAGGTATAGTAGATCCATGCCAAGATGTAGCTGAACACTATGACTTCAGGTTTTCAGGGTTTTAATAAATATCTGAAACCCAGTGGTTCACACACATGATAAATTGAAAAATTTTAAGGCTTACATTGTTTGCTAATTGAAAGCACCAAGGAATTTGAAATTATAAATACAAAATTTCAAAGGAAAACAGGTTGTTCAAAGTCAGGCTACTGATTCCTCTTTGAGGACAGTTACTGGAAGTGATCGTGAGGGGGATTTTAGAGGTGCTGGTTCCATTCTGGTTTTGGGGGCTGGTTACACAGCATGTTCAGCTCGTGAACATCCCCCACTGTGCTTTCGAATACGTGCACTTCCTCTGTGCAAGCTGTCCTTTCGCAAACACTTTTAAAATACATGCGTGTTTAACATTAAGCACGGGGGGAAGGGAAGCATGCCCATTTCAGAAACTGGAATACTTAGAAGAGGAGTCAAAGGGAATGAGGACATGTGGGAAATGTGGCAGGGACATGTCACCCGGTAGCTGACGTCACTGGCGCCGCGTTCTGCCCTGTCTTCCCTCCACTCGATTTTGTGCCTTAAAAGCAGTGTGGTCCTGCCACACGTGCGGGTTCCCGCGCTGCTTCCTTCCGGTGAGCCTGAGCAGGCCCTCGTGTCGTACACTCTGCGCTGTGTGTTTCCCTGGAAGTCAGAGTGTGTTTTCATAGGCGAGCACCACCGTCCGGGTGACCAACTCCAACGCCAATGCTGCCGGGCCCCTCATAGTAGCTGGCTACAACGTGTCTGGCTCTGTCCGCAGTGATGGGGAACCCATGAAAGGGGTGAAGTTCCTTCTTTTTTCTTCTTTGGTGACCAAAGAGGTAAGCAAAGGAAGATGGTGGGTGGGAGCTGGCCAAGAAGGGGACTCCAGACACAGCATATGCCGTTGGGAATGCAGGTCAGGCTTGCTCTGTCTCAGCGTTCGAGGCCATGGTGCGTCTCCGCTGACTCAGCGGGAGTGTCTGCACTGGGACCGGTGGAGTTGAGTGGGACACGTACAGGCTTTGAGTCAGTTAGGCCCAGGCTGAGATGATCCCACTGCCTCTGACGAGCAAGCCCATCACTTCCTTCCTGAGCAACCTTTTCTGGTTCTTGGGGACCCACAGCCATGTTTTCCAGAAGACTGTCTGTTTTTTTTTTAAGATTTATTTATTTGTACATACAGAACTGGGGTTACAGGCCAGAGGCTCAGGGGCGGTGAGAGGCTTCAACAGAGACAGAGTGGGGAGCAGAACAGGCAGATTGGTGAAGTACACTGCTGAGGGGAGCAGCGGGTGGGTCAGGAGAGGTCTGCCGCGCCATGTGGTCACCTCCGGAGCAGGCGTGGCTCGAACTCATGCGGAAGTGGCTTTAGCTTCTCAGTGCTGTGCTTTAACCTGCTGCTCCACCAGGGAGGGCCCAAGACTGTCTTTTTTTTTTTTTTTAAAGATTTATTTATTTATTCGTACAGAACTGGGGTACACGACAGAGATGTGGAGGGTGATAGGATTCACCAGAGACAGAGTGGAGAGCAGAACAGACAGATCGATGAAGCACACTGCTGAGGGGAGCAGCGGGTGGGCCAGGAGAGGTCTGCCACGCCATGTGGTCACCTCCGGAGCAGGCGTGGCTCGAACTCATGCGGAAGTGGCTTTAGCTTCTCAGTGCTGTGCTTTAACCTGCTGCGCCACCAGGGAGGTGTTTGACCTCTAGTATGTCCCAGATCTCAGGAGTATGTGTTTTGTATCATAAAACTTGGAAAGGTTCTCCTGCAGTGGGGAAGTAGGAAGGTAAGGAGGGTCGAGAGGAGAGTAACGTGGGTTTTCCTCCTGGCCTAGGATGTCCCGGGCTGCAGCGTCGCACCTGTGCCCGGCTTCCAGCCCCACGATGAGAGTCTCGTCTACCTATGCCACGTGGTCTCCAGGGAAGATGGCTCGTTCTCCTTCTATTCCTTGCCGAGTGGAGGCTACACCGTGGTGGGTGGAGCATGTTCCCTTCCTCTCTGTGTTTAAGATTCTTATGTCACAGTCGGTGCCACTGGGTACTGACGGGAGAAATGGCTGACTAGCAGTTTCGTGAGCGTTTTATTTATTTATTTTTTAACATGTGTAAATCTTTTTTTTTTTTTAAATTGTAATTTCTGTATTTATCCTGATACAGAAAAATTGCTTCTACTTGATATTTATTTCAGGCATCTCTTGGAAAGAGAGGTATTTCATTAGGCAGCAAGGGTTACAGAAAAGATACTATTTTGTCTGTCTTTATTTATATATATATATATATATATATAGGTATATGTATATACTTTTTTTATATATCATTCTTCATTTTGTACATTTTTAATCTCAGTTGTAATCTCCGTGGACATTCCACCACCAGTTCACCCCTGTGCCATCACCATAGTCCTGTGTTGGGAACATTTTATTTAGTAGTTACTTAAGACAAGATTCCGACCCTTCACTAATAGCTACAAAAAAGTGCTGGCCTTTTTAAAATCAGGAGTAGCTATGAGTAACAGTCTCTGTTGGTTCCTTAAATCCCTTGAGGCCCTTTGTGGGCTGTGGATGAATTATTGGTGTTGAGGGTCAAATATGATTTTATTGGCTTTTAGTGGTGAACAGACTCTTCCTTCCAGATTCCCTTCTATAGAGGGGAGAGGATTACCTTTGACGTTGCTCCTTCCCGACTTGACTTTACAGTGGAACATGACAGCCTGAAAATTGAGGTAAGCCTTCCCTATCCTCTGGGGGACAGGTGTTCCAGTTCCCACCCCTGCACACATGCAGACATGCTTGAGAAAGAATCAGAATTTTATCTGCATGGACTGTTGGGACAAACGGAATCTCAGACTGTCTTTCAGTTTAGCCTGGGATAGCCTAAAAACCTTCCTGTCTCACATAAGTTGTTTATGCTAGGGAATTGGAACCCTAGTTACAGTTTCTTCATTTAATGAAATGTTTATTGAGTGTTATATGCTAGAGTTGGGCATACAGCAGTGCCCAGAAGAGACAGACTCCTGTTCTCGTGGGATGTCAGTTGAAATGGCAGAAGGGAGACAAGATACTAATTTAACGTCAGTAAATTAGAAAATTATGTTAGAGTAAAGAAGGAAAGGAGATTGCGCTATTTCAGGGTTGAGAGGTTTGCAGTCTTACTCAGAAAGTTCTTCTGAGTTGACATTTGAGCCGGAATCTGAGAAGAGACAGTGAACTTGTCTGACAACTATGGGAAGAGTGTTTAAGACAAAGAATGGCAGGTGCAAAGGTCCTGAGGCAGTGTGCCTAAGGGCTTGGGAGAGCCCAAGACACCAGAGTTTCTGGAATGGAGAGAGGAGGGAAGAGAGCTGTGACAGGCAGGGTGGGCCACCCCACGTGAGAACTGGCACCCCTCGGGGTAAGGTTCCGAGTGGAGGCGAGGTGTGATCCCTCTGGCCGTCATGTTGAGAAGAGCATGCTGAGCAAGGTGTACCAGAGCGCAAGCGCAGTGCTGGTTGGAGGCTGTGGCGGTAAACCACGGGAGAGCTGACGGTGCTTGCACCTCGGTGGCAGGAGTGGGTGGGAGGGAGATGGCTTGATAACCCCCCTGGGCCGTAAAATCGATGGCAAATCTGTTTTTCACCACATTTAGGTCTTTAATTACAGAAGTAGAAAGTGATTACTATAGAAGATTTGCTAGATAGAGCAAATCCCAAAAGGAAATTATAGTCTTTCATAAATGGACCACCCAGTGTTAGAGTTATTGAAAAAATTAGATTTTAATCGTTTTCTTTTAATGTTACGTTGCAAGTGCTGTGTTACAGTCGCCTAGATGGTAGGAGCTGGCTGAGGTCACGTGCTCAGTGGGCCTCGGGCTCTGCTCTCTGCATTCGGGAAAGCATTTGACTACTGTGCTCCATAGTGGAGCAGAGGGTGAGGAGACGAAACCCTTGCTTCCTTCAAGGCTCAACCAGAAAAGGGTGGGCAGGTGAGAGGGAAAGACTTCAGGGCCTGATCAAGTGCAGGTGGGGAGACAGGAGCCTGGGACTTCAGGGGCAGTTTGGAAGCTGCACGTGGCCAGGAACTCTTATCCTTTACTGTTCCTGACGTGACCTGGTGCTGACTGGTCGCCTGTGCCTAACAAGTGTTGTTAGCGCATGTGGGAACTAATAAATGGGTAAACCGCTTCCTAGGAAGACCAAGAAGGGCTTGAGGGAAAAAATACCTTTTAAATGCGGTTGCATGGATGCGTTCATTCATTCATTTATTCATTCATTCATTGGGTCACCGGATATGTGCCGGGGAGGAGCCAGGTGGTGACAGACAAACAAGTCCCTGCTTCCCAGGACCTTGCCTTCTGATGGGCAGTAGGCAGACTGTGAGGGTTTGGGTATGGGGAGCTTGATCTGGCTAGTAACAGGTTTGTGGGATGGACAGTGACTGACTGGGCGGCAGGGGCCACTGAGTCAGGGAAAGCTTCTTAGAGGTGGCAGATTGACCTGGAACCTGAAAGATGAGAGGGAGCGGCCTTCTCCCAGGTCTTTCTCAGATATGGGAGAAGATCCAGGTGAGTGAGCCCGAGGTGTCAAGACTCCACAATGAAGAAGCGTGTGGCATTTGCGTGTGTCCCCTTGAGGACCGAAGATCAAGGTGGCTGGAATGTGGCAGTGTGGAGCAGAGCCTGGCACTCAGGAACGAGGAGGCACAGGCTGCATGGTGCAGAGGAGCCGGTGCTCTGTGAGGAAGCGGGGTGGGAGGGGGGTGCGGGAGGTGGTAGTGGGGGCGCCGTAAGCAGGAGTTGGAAGAACTTGAAGTCAGGTTGCTGTGTGAGGAGACAGGAGGAGGCACGTGTGACCACAGGATTGATCAATGCTGCAGGTGTTGGGGGTACAAGGTGACTGTGGTTTGGGCTTGGGAGACTGGAGGATGGGTGACTTGTCAGAATGGGGGCCTTGGGGGAGGAGCCAGGCAGGGGCTAAGGGTGGGAGGCTCTGTCAGGTCCGACTCCCTCATCTTCAACCTGGGAATCTTAACTCAGTGTCTGATAGACACCGATGTGCTGGGACGCACTGCTGTGGGGGAGCCTGGCTGGCACGTGGTCCTGGGCGAGGACGTGGGCGGCTGTGCTGAGGGGGGACGAGGGCGGCACAGGGAACTTCTGGGCTCAAACACACAAGAACCTTCTTCCTGCTCTGTGTCTTCCAGCCGGTGTTCCACGTCATGGGGTTCTCTGTCACGGGGAGGGTCTTGAATGGACCCGAAGGAGAAGGTGTCCCAGAGGCCGTGGTCACCCTGAATAATCAGATCAAAGGTGGGCAGACACCGAGGGGCACCGCGGCTGCTTTTGATACCTGAGAAATAGGGAAAGGAAACCGGTTTTATGACTCAAAGGGAGGCCGGCTTTTTGTCTCGAGTGTTATTGTGCTTGGGGGTATACTGCGTTTGGCTAATTTTTTGTTTGTATTCTTCTTTTTCCAGTCAAAACAAAAGCTGATGGCTCCTTCCGTCTGGAGAACATTACAACAGGGACCTACACCATCCACGCTCAGAAAGAACACCTCTACTTTGAAACCATCACTATCAAGATCGCCCCAAACACACCTCAGCTGGCCGACATCATCGCCACAGGGTGAGTGCAGTCTGTGAGTGCCGGTGCTCCCGTCAGCAGAGGCAGAGAGCAGGTCCCTTTATGTGCTTCTGGAAGGGTCCACAGATGGTCTCACACCCTCAAGAAGTGCAGGCTGCCTTCTTAGAGAGATTAGTGTTAAGTCTTTCTTTGTTGTGTCTGTAGTTGGGTGCTTAAAGAAAATGAACTTACTTCAAAGTTAAAATTGGTGAAAGTCAGAAACATCCCTCCGGGCTGGTTTCCCTTCAGTGGGACCTTGCTTGGCTCATTTCTTGGGCTGAGAAGGTTTCTTGTAAGCTGCCTTGAGTCATGATCATGGTTGCTCCTGCACTGTTGTACTTGGGAATGTGAGGGGACACTCTTCAGTGGAATTTGTTTTATCATGATGTGATCCGTGATCCCATGGCATGTAAAAAGCCCACCCTAGAAGCAGACACCAGAACTTTCTCTCACCTGTGAGGAACCTCTGGCGTGGGCATGCTGCCAGCACCTCTGAGGCACGCCAGGGGCTTGCCAAACAGTAGCGTCAGTGGACAGAAGCAGTGCGGGAGAGGCGCCGTGAGCACAGGGGGCGCCTCAGTAGCCCCCATGTGAGCACAAAGTGCTGAGCAGGCAAAGGGCTGATCCCAGAGGCCTCCTCACACTGAGTGGGAAGATGGGCTGTCACTCTGCCCAGGGTGGGGCCAGCGAGTAGCAATGAGTGTAGACTACCCGGTAAGGTTTTTTAATTTCTTTGAGATACTCTGGTGGACGATGGCTTTGAAGGGGACAGAGCTGAAAACAGAGCTGACAAGGGCCTCTCTTGTAGGGAAGTTGAGGCGGGATGGGAAGGTACTTAGGGACCCCATCTGGGAGGCGGGATGGCTGTGGCTCGAGGAGCAGCTGTTCCGGGAACTTTGGCCACAGGGCCTGTGGGCCCACTAGGTGGCGCTCTCTGACAGTTGCTTAGATTGTTAAATCCCGAAGATCTTGTGGCTGGCAGGACTGGTAGAATTAGAATAATAGACTACAAATGGAATGCTGTGGCCTCAGGAGGACCTGGGCTGGTGGCCTCTAGGTCCTTCTTTAAGGTGGGACATTTGGGTCAAATAAGTATAGAGCCCTTTTGGTAAAATAAGTAATATTCCCTTTTGGACCAGATTAATACTTTTGCTATTTGATACTTTAATTCACTTCTACTCACTTTTTTTCTTTTCCTTCTTAAAAACTGTTTTTCCCAATTTAATTGAAAAATAACCTCTTGGACTTCTGTCCAAATGACTGTGAGCATATAATTATCTTGTGATGCACGAAAATGACTAACTTCTAACCATAATGAGTCCCTTGATGAGGGAGTTTACTGATACAAATCAATCTAAAGATTTAAATCTAGAGTCGTTAAAAGGGCTTTATTATACTAAATGCTCTCCTAATGGTTTTTGAGTTTATTTTTCTAAAGTAGACCAATACACATTTGGAGTTTGGGGTAACTGAATTCTTCACTTTAGTGGAGAGGTTGAACTGAAATCTATCTATTGGCTAAAATGTTTAACCAAAGATTAGATGCCAAAGTTCAACTTAGAGCAGAGAAAGTGACATTCCACCTGGCAGGACACAGATTCCCTCCCTGGCCTTCCGTCCTGAGAGTGTATAGTCGTGGGTGTGAGAACCAAGCACCTGTCCTTCCAGTTTACTTTTTAAAACTGGAGCCATTTGGGCTGCATGCCTCTCTTCATTGTGGTGAAGCTGGGCTTGGGGACGAGGGCTGGAAGTAGGCTGCATCCTCGGGCTGAAAAGCTCCTTTCCTGTTGTAATTGAGTTCTCTGTGTCTCGTTGCAGATTCAGTGTCTGTGGCCAGATATCAATCACCCGCTTCCCTGACACCGTCAAGCAGATGAGTAAATACAAAGTTGTCCTGTCGTCTCAAGACAAGGACAAGTCTTTGGTTACCGTAGAGACAGATGCTCATGGATCATTTTGTTTTAAAGCAAAACCAGGAGCCTACAAAGTCCAGGTATGATGGGTCTTTGTTCTGTTTAAACAGAAATTGAGAAATTTGAGAAAAAGCCATGTTTTCACTAATGAGGACATTCGCGGTTAGAGTTGGAGCATTTCCCTTCCTAGCCTTTGACTTTTGAGGTGTTTCCAGCCTGATGTCTCCCAGTGGGTAGAGCAGACAAGAGTCAGAAATGACAAAATGGGCCTCTCTCTCTTCTAGGCCTGGTGTTCACTAGGATGAGGTCAGGGGGCCTATGGTGCCTCCATTTCCTCAGGCCCCTGGCTGCTGCAGGACACCTGTGAGTCACAAAGGAGCCCCAAAAGCAGTTTGTTAATGACAGTGCAGCGACAGCTCATAGCTTCTGGGGCCTGAGGCCAAAATGAACGTCCTTTCCTTTTGGCATCGCCTCCTGGTTTCTCCAATCAGGCAGGCGGATAAGCAGGGAGGTCCTGGCCTGCGTCTCAGCACAAGGACGCAGCCTAAGCGCAGGTGGCTGGAGGGGAGAACCGAAGCAGAGGCTCACCCCCACCTTTGGGCCAGTGGCCCTGTCCTGGAGAGATGCCATCAGCGCCTCTCAGGCCTTCCTGCTGCCCCGCCTTGCGGACGAGCAAGTGAGGGGAGCCAGAGGACCAGAAAATTTCTCTCCGGGGTCCTTTCTGTGAGGCTGGGGAGGAGCACGGTGGTTTCCCTGCCACCATTGGCAGTGTGGTATTGGCTTGACACCTCCTTTACTAGTTAACCAGCTTCTTGCTAAGTCGACCATGTCAACAAGCCTTTGGAAGCCCTTTTGGAAGCATGATAAGGCCTTTACCAAGGAAGAGCAGGTCTAGCAGGGGATCCTCACCAGGGGTGAAACAGGTGACAGCACCCCTCCCAGCCCCCCTTGTTAGCTGCGAAAGGTGCACTAAAAGAAGACAGGAAGAAGGGTCGAGCCTGGATCCACTGCCAACCTGCCACAGAGTTACCTCACGGCCCCAGCTCACATTTCGAGTGGCCTCCAACCTGGAAAAGGCTCCGGGGTCCAGTATGGTCCCGCCCGTACATGGATGACCCAGGACAGCTCGCATGCCTCTGGAGAATTATGTGGGTCCTCTCCTTTGCACCCTGAAGCGTTGCTGCTGGTTCCTGTCTTGGTAGCAGTGTATGTTGTGTTTTGTTTTAACACAGGCAGTTTTGTGGATTTTTTTGTCATTATAAAACTAGGCCTAAGAATGAATCTCTTTCAAAATCTCTCTTGTGGGGCCCTCCCTGGAGACACAGCAAGTTAAAGCACAGTACTGCGAAGCTGGTGGCAGCCGCTTTGGTGCGAATTTGATCCCCACTCCAGAGGTGACCCACATGGTGCAGCAGATCTCCTGTCTCGCTTGCTGCTCCCCTCAGCAGTGAACTTTGTCATGTGCCTGGCTCCCCACTCTGACTATAGTGAATCCTCTCACCGCCCCTGCACCTGTGGCCTGTATCCCAGTTCTATATGCATAAATAAATAAATCTTTAAAAAAAACCTCTCTTGATGAAGGTTCTCGTGCTCTGCACGAGAGCAGGGAGCAGAAACCCTCATACAGCCGCTGATGCTGACGCTGCCCCATGTGTCTTGCAGGTGATGGTTCCTGAGGCCGAGACCAGAGCGGGGCTGACGCTGAAACCCCAGGCCTTCCCTCTGACTGTGTCTGACAGGCCTGTGATGGACGTGGCCTTTGCACAGTTTTTGGCATCCGTTTCTGGAAAAGTCTCTTGTTTGGGTAAGATGGCGATTAGAAGCAAGAACAGATAGTTGCAAAGTAGTAAGCAGCCAGTAGTGGAGTCTCAGCGAGCTTTTCCTTGCGGGGTGGCGGCACAGAGGCGGCAGAAACCGCTCCTGGGGGAGGTGGCTGAGAGGCTGTGCCACCGATAGCTCTGCCGCGGTGAGTTGCCGGACCTGTGCTCTTGCAGTGGTTCTGCTTTGGCTCCAGGACACAGGGGCTTCATTTGTTCCCCTTTAACTCTGAAAATAAGATGGAGTTAGGCCCAGGCTTCAGTCCTGTCACTCCCCTGCTACGAGACTGGAAGCATTTGCGCAGTTTTTTTTTTTTTTTTCTATAAAATGGGAAGAAGCTTCCTTCTCTCAGAGGGTTCTAGTGAGGCTGAGTGTCCGGAGGCCATGCTGCTGCACAGGTAGCAACTCAGACTCCCCTCAGACCACCTGGCTGGGGCCTCACTGTGTGGCCACGAGGGAATTCCTTGCCCCCATCTGCAATATGCTGATAGTTATCATGCCTGTCCCCAAGGTCACATGAGGGTCAGGGTTGGTGTGTGTAGCCCATCAAGCCCCAGGCCACATGGTCAGAGCCATGTGGATCCTTGCTGCTGGCGCTCTTACTTGATGCAGGGCCCATTGTGTGCTGGTACAAAGTGGGCATTCAGTCAAGCTGCATTGCCTCCCTCTTTCTTGGTTCCATTGATAGTCCACTGCTTTGTGCTTTCTAGTAAAGGGGGTCTCAGCATCGGTGCTTTGGTTCTTTGGTCCTGATGGCTTGCTTGGGGGGAGGCTTTTCAGAATGCTGTGGCACCTGTAAGATGCCCTCCTGGCATTGCCTGCGGGAGCTAGCTGGGCGCAAGCAGCTGGCAGGCTTGGGTGGGTGCGTGCTCTGAGTTCATGGGGGCTGTCTCAGGAGACCCTCCTGTCTGTCTGCAGATACCTGTGGCGACTTGCTGGTCACCCTGCAGTCCCTGAGCCGCCAGGGTGAGAAACGCAGCCTTCAGCTCTCTGGCAAGGTCAACTCAATGACTTTCACATTTGACAGCGTGCTCCCTGGAAAATACAAGAGTAAGTGCCAAATGTAGCGTCTCTTGTTCCTCACAAGCCTCCTGTCTTGCCAGACTCTCTGAAACCAGCTCCCAGATTGTTCCCCAACTGTCTACCTTCCCTTGCTTATCTCTCCCTCACCCCACCACCCTGAATGTGCACTGTCGTGCCGTGCCTGAAGGGAGAATAAGGGAGTGGGGGGTGGAGACAGGCTCTGGGCACTAACTGCCACACGATGCTCATTTGGGCCATTTTATTTCTAAATGGCAAGGAAGTGTGGAATATTACACAGGAGTGTTCCACCACCTAGCAGCTGTGTGTAAAACAAGTTAATAGCACCTTCTCGAGGCAGGCATGTCTAAGTGAAATACAGAGGGCGCCCTGGCAGGGCCTGCACAGCAGGAGGTCCCGGTGCGGCTGGTTCCCTGCCCCCTGGTCAAGCCACCTAGCGCCTGCCTGCGCTCTGCGCTGTGCTCACCGAGCTCGACCTGCAGCTGCTGGCAGTGGGTCACTGCTCCAGTCAGCTGCTTTCTTTTTGTTTTTTGTTTTTTTTTTTTCCTTTGGCCTGAGGATAACTGCCAGTGTTTTCTGAAGTTTATTTTTCCACAGCCACCTCCATTTATGTACAAAGGCCTGTGACTGGGTGTGCACTTCAAAGGCCATTGAATAGTCGTGACCCCGTGGGCTGCAACCAGTTGTAAGATTTATTCTCTGGCGTGTTACAGAGCAGTTTGCTCAGCCCTGGACATCTTACTCACAGCCTGACCTTTAGGCACAGTTGAATTTCTCTTTTGGTGATTTTAATGGCCATTGGTTTCGGTTTTCCTGTAGCAGTTACTTGTTCCAAGCGCTGCTGGCTGTGTGAATGTAGTGGGCCTGTACACACACACACGCACACACACAATTTTAAAAATTAGCCAGGCCACCACCTTCTTGGTGGTGTTTGGGTGGCGTGTCCGTGCCCACTTGCTCTCTGGTTGGGTGTCTCCCCAGTAAGCATCCTACATGAAGACTGGTGCTGGAAGAACAAGAGTCTGGAAGTGGAAGTCTTGGAGGACGACGTGTCCGCCGTTGAGTTCAGGCAGACGGGCTACATGCTGAGATGCTCCCTCTCTCACGCCATCACTCTGGTACGCCGGGCTGGGAGGGCTCTGTGGACGGACACTCGCCTTGGAAAGCGTATGGGATTAGCCAAGGATGTTGTAACCGCAGTCAGGCTTTCTTTTCTGCCCCTCCCCTCGCATGCCCGTGATGGAATGCTGTCAGGAAGATTTACAGTGGCCTTTACCTTTCTTCACTGGGAATGGCCTGTCCCCATCCCGGCCCCCCCGTACTCACTTCTCCTTTTGCTGGTCTGGGGAAGCCTTGGACAAGTTCACATCACAGTTCTGAGTCTGTTTTCTCCTGTACAGTCGGGATCCCGATAGCATTTCTCAGGGTTAGAGTGTTAGGTGAAGCCCTTAGGTATTTCAAGTCTCCTTGGTCTGCACTGCTTGGTGTGACTGACTACTTGATGTAGGCCCCAGGGGATTGACACTGATGTTTCAGTGCCTGTCAGCTGCCCCAACTGCTTAACTGCAAATGCTCAGCAGTAGTGTCCTAGGTGATGTGATTCACGTCCAGGCCGGAGTGAGTGGTAGACACGTAGCAAACAGTCTCCTTCCTTAAACCCTACAGTGGATCTCCATCTCCCTCAGGCTCAGATCCCTGTTCCTTGTGACAGCCAGTGAGGCCCTTCCCTAGCTGCCGCCTCACCCTCTGGGCCCTGGCACACTGGCCCATGCTCCTTCCCAACTCTGGGCACAGAACTCTGTGTCTTCCCCCCAGAATGCTTCCTTCACACCCACCTGCTAAAGAGGGGCTTGCCCTGAGACCAGCAGGTTAGAGACTCAGTGGTGACCCACTTATCCTGCTCCCTTGTTTATTTTCTTCAAGCCTCATTATTACTAATGTTTTTGTTGACCGCATTGACCTCCTGCCTTCCTGTATTAGAATGTAAACCCCCTGAGAATAGGAGCCACGTCAGCCCCTAAGGCCTGGCCTTGGGCATGTCACATAGCAGCTGTCAATAAATATTAGTTGATTGAGTGAAAAAGAGTACATTTTGTTGCAAGTTTTTTAATTTTCCTGTGGCTTCCAACTGCCCAAATGATTAATGGGCAAAACAGATGACTGGCTCAGAAACAGAAATATTATTAATCATCTCGGTGTCTCCATCTCCCCTAGTAAGTCATTGTATTGGCTTTGGCCCCTTAGGAGTTTTATCAGGATGGAAATGGACCTGAGAATGTGGGGATTTATAACCTCTCCAAAGGAGTCAACCGATTCTGCCTGTCCAAGCCCGGTGAGTCTGGGAGGACGGATGTTTGGTGCTGGAGTGAGGGAGGCGCCGAGGTGGCTCTAAAGGCATTTTTTCCTATCTTGGGTCAGTTTGCATCAAACAGTCAATTTTGTTGTGTTTATCAAGCTCATGTTTTTCCATCTCCTTGGGAGGAAGCAGCATTTTTACTTGAAGACTTAGTGTGAGAGTATCTCTTGGGTGGAGTTGATTAGAGGCCACTGGGTCCTTTCACTTTTAGAAATATGACACCTTTGCCCGGTGACCTATCCTGAATCATCTGTGTAAAATAGACATTGGCGCATCTCTCATCTTGCTTCAAATTCTCAGTGACTTCTTTCTTTTAATTTTATTGAACTGCAATTTGCAGACCATAAAAAATGGTCACCCATTGAAAATGTTTAATACAGTGGTTTTTAGTATATTTACCAAGTTGTATAACCGTCATAATCTGGTAGAGTATATTCATCACCTCAGTAACGGCCTTCTGTGTAGTGGCTTCCATTCCCAGAAGCCACTTACCTGTTTTCTGTGTGTGGATTTGCTGTTTCTGGACATTTCATGTAAATGAAGCCACGCAGTGTGAGCGTTTTGTCTGGCTTCTTTCACTTCCTGTAATATTTTTGAAGTTCATCCTTGTGATAAACTTGGTGGTGGTTATTAGTCACTGCCCCCTTTTTATTGCCTTATAATATTCCCTTCATGGTTAAATCACATCTTGTGTATCGTTCAACAGTTGGTGGATATTTGAATTCTTTCCATTTGAGAGCTGTTAGGAATAATGCTGCAGTGTATGTGTGTGTACAAGTCTCTGTGTGGATATCTGTTTTCCCTTGGGAAAGACCTGGGGATGGAATAGCTGGACCATATCGTACGGTGTTGTTTATTTCTGACACTGTCAAATCATTTTCCAAAGAAACTGTCAAATTGTTTTCCAAGGAAACTGGATTTACCATTTGGTAGTCTCTTGAACAATACATGGGATTCCTATTTCTCTGCATCTTTGTCAACATTTGCTATTGTCTGTCTTTTGGTGTATTGTCATTCTGGTTTATAGAAAGTCGCATCTCATGCATTTTCCTGATTAACTGTAGTTTATGAATTCTCTTTATTCTTAAAATAGAAAATCCTTAACCTGATCCTGAGCTTCTATATAATCCAGCCCTACCTGCCACTCTCTTTGCTCCAGCCACTTGTCCTGTGTTTATTTAGGGTGCCTTTGACTGCAAGTAACAGAAAATCTTCCAAAGTGTCATCAACATGTGGGGTTTAGTTGGCTCAATCACAAAGTCAGAAAGAAGGTGGCCACAACATGGGGAGAAGGGGAGTCTCTTTATGATTCTTTTAGCCTTTCCCTTGTGTTTTTTACCTTATGCTTGTTAATTGCTGGAACAGCAGGAGAACACAGGAAAATGTCTCCATGTCCTCTTCTCTAGGATACTTCCTTACTGACTACTGCATAAAACTGTGTCACGTGGTCACTTCTAGCTGCAAGGGAGGCTGGTACAGTTGGACATATTGCCACCTAACATAGGACCTAAGGAAGGAAGGACAGATGGCTGTGGGGGAAATGATTAGCAGGTCTGTGGTTGAGACTTGGTTCTCTGTTCTCTGGTTAAGTGTTCTTCCTGCCCCTCACACCCTACTCCGCACCAGCTGTTCCCTCCTGCCCGCCGCGTCGTACTTAAGATGTTACATCTATAGGGAAGATGGCCCTCTCGTGTCATCCCTGTGATGTTCTTGCTCAGTTCTTGGCCCTTACTGAAAGCTTGTGGCTGCCAGCTCTGCTCTCTCCACGGTGAGCCCCACGAAGGCAGGCTTCATACTGTTTTGTTCCCTACGGTGTACCTCAGCACCTAGTCCGATTCCTGGCATGTAGCAGGGGCTGGTTCTCTGTCAGTGTTCAGTGAAAGAACAGACCAGATGAATGGAGATCAGGTCATTTTCTCTCGTAGTCACTGTTCTGGCAGAGGTGGCATCAGGTTTTTATGGGAAGTCTGGCCAAAATGTTGGTGATCACTTGGGGGAGCACTGTTAGTCCTCACTCCTCACTAAAAGTGACTGTGTTCATTTGGCAAGGAATGACCTCCTAATCTGAGCAGTACCCCACCTAGGCTAATGTTCTAGTGTTTCCTGTACTTTTTCTTCATTTTCTGGGTCTTCTCCTGCCCCTTTCAGGGATATTTATAAGACCTCTTTCCTATGGTTATCTTTCGGGTCTTTGACTGAATCTGTGAAGTAGAAAACTCTTGGCGTGGCTTGCTATAGAAGCATGCTTCTTGTTCCCTTTTCTGTGTGTCTGTTAGTTGAGTGTGTGCAGATCAAAGTCCTGGGAGTTGTCAGGTCCTAGCTAGTGAGACTGTGAGACCCTGGATTCGAGAGTAGGCACTAAATGGAGGGGGCCATCGGTAAGAGGTGGCAGGAAAGGCCTCTCTGATCTGTTGTCACACGTGCAACCTGCGCCGAGTCTCGTGAGAGGCGCTGCCTTTGGCTCTCGAAGGTTGAAGCTGCCTTGGGAAGTGGATGCCCTACTCTGAAAACTGCTTTGCTCTCCCGACTGCAGGTGTGTACAAGGTGACCCCACGCTCCTGCCACCGGTTTGAGCAAGCCTTCTACACCTACGACACGTAAGCGGGCGCTCCCAGCGCTGTGGGGTTGGCGCCCTTCAAGCAGAGGAGCCAGCTTGTAGCTCTTCCTGCTTGCTTCTGAGAACAGGGAGATGCTTTGTTTTTTTTCTGCAAGGGGAAAGTTAGGCATTACAAAGAATTTCTAGATAAGAATTTTAAGACATTAGGGTAAATTACAGAGGAAATAGAGATAACATTTCTTTCCTAAGAACTTTGTAAACCCAGGACGGAAGACTTGGGTTTTGAAGTAGTTTAAATATAATCTCACTGATGGGAATTTTTCAAGCTCAACACTACTATTTTTATATTTTTACAACTGATTGTGGGTTTCATCGGGGTTTGGATGTGTAAAGTTTTAGAGTAGAGAATTAGTTTACTCTTTAAAAGACTTCTAGGTGCAGGTTCCTCCCACTACCCAAAAGCAGAGCTTTCCTAGGAAACTGAAATGGCCTGAAGCAAAGCAGCAATTACCTCTCGTTTATATGGGAAAATTGTAAGCTTTCCCAGACCTAAAAATCAACTTGCCAGATCATCCCAAATAACACATAAAACCTAAATCAGCACTAACATAGAGTAAAAACAGCAACGTTGTGATAAGCACATAGCCTGCATCGAGAAGTGTCTAGGGGGGAGCCTGGGGGCGGGGGTGGCCGCTACCTCGCAGCAACTGCTGTTAAGCCAACCGAAGCTGAACATGCTCTTTTTGCTTTCATTATAAGAGGAAAATTCCCTTTGAATTTCTTTGGGTTCATGAAAACAGGGACTATTGTAGAGGCTACATAAAAGCAAAGTGGCCTGACTCAAACTTTGAAGGAGGCCCTGTATTCCAGGAGTCACTTTGTCTCAGGCACAGAACAATTTCCTGTACTGTGTTTGGGGGTCCGAAAGGTTGGACAGAAAGTGGCGTTTTTGATCCTGAGGACGACTGGCTCATGCTTGTATCTCCTTTCCACTTCCTTGATTTATAGGTCTTCACCCAGTATCTTGACGTTGACAGCCATCCGCCACCATGTCCTTGGAACTATCACCACTGACAAAATGATGGATGTCACTGTGACTATCAAGTAAGACGAGCGTCCAGGCTGGGCAGGGGGCCTTCGCTAATAGACTCCCCGAAAATTATTTTTGATTTCTTATCTCTCTTTGTATATACAAATGGCCTCCCTCTCGTATACGTGTGTGACATCGCCATAAATTCATGACAGCTTAGTCAGGAGCTAACTGTGGATGAGGAAGCGCCTCTGACAGTCAGCCTCAGTGCTCGGTCTCTGTTGGAACACTTCACACTTTCTGTCTAAGAAAAAAAAACTACCTGGTTTGTTCATTGTATTTCAAGCGTTTTAGCAAATTCAAAAAAATTGCCTATTTTTCTTTAGACCTTTTCTCACAGCCTGGGAAATAGAGATGGCTCTTGATATAAGAAGGGTCATGAGAGAGAAAGCATATGAGAGTCCTTTCCTCACTGAAGGTCATGTTCATGTGAATATTGCCTCAGAAGGAAATTTTTTGCAGAATGGTGAGGTGCAGCTGACATCCTTATTTTCTTGAAAAATGAGAGTTTTAACACTATGACCGTCTTCATGAAATAGAACAGGTAGTGCGCTGGCTTTCTCCTGCGTTACCTTGGTGAAGTTGTCTTTCTCGTCATGTCTTCATCTCTGTCTCCACCTTCCATCCACTCTCCATCCAGAAAATAGTGTCTAGAGTCTTCTATATATAGAATCTTCCGTGTCTAGGTGCTCGGCATAGTCCAGCCCCATCCCCCAAGAAACTGAGAGGCTCTCAGGCAGGCCCATGCATGCAGAAATGTGAACTTAGGGCTGTGATCAGTGCTTTGAATCTGATCTTGGAGGGTTGGGGCCACATAGGCAAGGGGTCCTGTTAAGGGACATCCCTTTGCCCCACCATCGATACAGTTTAGGAAGATGAATGACTCTAGTCCGAGTGCCCCCCTGCCTGCTGAGTGGAGAAACAGAGAAGAGGCCTCTGAGAGGAAGTCAGCTGAGGTGGTAGTTCAGGGTGAGGGTAAGGGCTTGAGGGCTGTGGTCTGAGGCAGAGCAGAGAGGCTTGGGGTGGGGGTGGGGCTTGCAATGTGGAGGAGGCAGAGTTGATGTGTTTTAGGAAGGGTTTGGTGCCAGGTGCTTAGTGCACTGGCTTCTGCTCTTTAACTGCTTGGAAGTATGAATTACTGGGATGATGAGGAATCATTTTATTAACAGAGGCTCTCTCTTACCTGTTTTCAGTGTTTATTCCGTTCATTTGTGTACCCTCAGAGGGGTTTGGTTTTGTTTGCTTGGGGAGTGTATGAAATGCATTTTCTAGCTGCACATAGCTGCCTGGATGTCTAATGGGATCGAGTCCTTTCCACACACAAAACCTGAAACCTGGCTCCTACACCCCAAAACCTACTCTAGGGGCCTCCCTGGGTGCGGGCTCCCTCAGTACAATATGGCTGTGCTGTCTTCCTGGTTGTTCCTTGATGCTTTTCCTTGCATTCCACACCCAGCTAATTCGTCAAACAACACTTGGTCTTCTAAGTAAAAATACATCCTTCCTCTAGTGCCTTCTGAACTTCATTCCGTACTTTGGCCCAGGCAGTCTCTGACCTGTATCATTGCTCCAGCTTCCTGTCTGACCCACCTGTTTTGGCCTTTGCCTTGTGACTGTGTATTCTCCATGCAGAACCCAGAGTGTCCTCTAAAGTAGAGGACCTGTCATTCCTCCTCAGACTCCACTGTTGGTGGAGCCCCAGTCTGACCCCTGGAGCCCCCTCATCGTCCTGATGGGGCCCCTCTGCCCAGGCTGCATCAGTCTCCTGATGTCACTTGAGCATGCTGAAGGAACTCCTCTCCCGGGCCCAGGACATCATCCTCACGTTCCCTCGCTCGAGCCCGGAGCGCCCCCGGGGCTTGCTCTCCTTCCCTTCAGGGTCCCTTCCCACATTATCAGAAAGGCCTTGGCTCTGTTGGCTTCTGTCACTCCACACTGCTTTGTTTTCCTTCATCGACTTGTCATCTCGCTTCATTTTTCTTTTCATCGTCTCTTCCCCCTGGAATGTGGATTCCGAAGGGCTGGGCTGCAGCCTGTGCTGTTTCGGCCGTATCCCTGGTGCCTGCGACCTAGCAGAGCATGCTCCCGGGAGAGGCTGAGGGAAAGCAGGAGGTGGCAGCCTGAAGAGAGCTCTGTGTCCTATGAGAAATCTGACAGGTTTCCAGGTCACAGCCGCCACTGGGATTCCATCCCAGCCCAGAGCTAGCAGACCCTACTACCTTCACAAATTCCCTTTTGAGATTTCAAAAGCTATTATTTTATTCACACCATGAGCAGAGGGTGCCATTGGCTTGCAAAACGTTTGGTTTCTCTTGCATCACTGTGTCAGATTCTGCTGGCGATGGGGTGGATGCCCACGCCTTCTGCCCTTTCCTCCCCAGGTCTTCCATTGACAGTGAGCCCGCCTTGGTCCTAGGCCCTCTGAAGTCTGTGCAGGAGCTGCGGCGGGAGCAGCAGCTGGCCGAGATCGAGAGCCGCAGGCAGGAGAGAGAGAAGAACGGCAAAGAAGAAGGTGGAGAAGGCAGGCCCAAGCCCCCTGTGCAGGAGATGGTGGACGAACTCCAGGGCCCCTTCTCCTATGACTTCTCCTACTGGGCCCGGTGCGCACTCGGGGGCTTTTCTCGGCAGTGCCCTCTGTTCCAACATCCCTCCTAATGGAGGGTCAGAACCAGCCAGACTGCAATGTTTTGATTATTTTAGGTCTGGAGAGAAAATCACTGTGACCCCGTCGTCTAAAGAGCTGCTCTTCTATCCCCCTTCCATGGAGGCCACCGTGAGTGGAGGTAAGTCCAGCTCCCTGAGCTGAAGTTGCGTCTGGACAGCTGTTCCTATACCTGCGTTTGAGAGTTCCTCAGGATTGCTGGAGGGGCGTCATCTCTGTTGCTCCCTGTCCTCATCCCCCGACCCCCAACTCTGCATGCTGATGCTTGATGCATGGATGAGTGAGTGAGTGATCCAAATCAAAATCTACACAAGTAATCTGCATTGTTAGAACTGGGCATCTTTCTGGAAAAGGACTTAGGTTTCTTTGATAGTTGTAGGGTGACACCAGAAAGTGGGTAAAAAGCACAGTCACTGAGTGGTGGGCCTTCATTGTCCTCTGATCTGTTCATGTTCGGTTTTGGGAAGGGTGAGGGAAGGCCTTTTTGAGATGGGTAATTAGCACTGACTGCTGGTGGGACATTTGCCTTTTGCTATTGATCGATTTTCCTAGCAGGGTGGGTTCCCTGAATCCTGGGCATTGAGTGCTTTGTGTTTGGATGGAGAGTGTGTTGAGGAGCCTGGTTTGCAGCAGCAGCCAGTTTGGGGTTTCCCATGGGGTTCTCTGGGGTTGTGCAGCACAGACGTACTTGGTATAAGCACTTCTCCTTGTCTGTGGACCTTTGGGAACAGAGGGAGCAGAGTAATGGAGCCCACCTTTGGCAGGTTTACCGGCAGAAGCGATGGGTACCTGAGTGAGGCCTTTTGGGGATGCGAAGGGGCTTGTGCCTCCTCCAGACCTCGAGCTTCCTGGCATATCGGCCTCATGTGGCACTAGCTTCACATATCTTGGTCCTAGACCAGGCCTACCCTGGAGATTCCCCTCCTTTACAGCTAACTCCTATCCTCTCTTTTTCTTCCCTTTTTTAGAAAGCTGCCCAGGAAAACTGATTGAGATCCATGGGAAAGCAGGGCTGTTTCTAGAAGGCCAGATCCACCCAGAGCTGGAAGGAGTTGAAATTGTCATCAGTGAAAAGGGAGCAAGTTCTCCCCTGATCACGGTCTTTACTGATGACAAAGGTGCCTACAGGTAAGCCCTGGAAGAAATATCTGCTTGGGGCCAGTCGGGGGCCCAGGTCTGTGTGTTGACGCTCCTCCAAGGGGAAGCGAAGCCACCTGTGGTATGTTGCCTTTTTCTCCTCAGTGTGGGCCCACTGCACAGTGACCTGGAATACACCGTGTCCTCCCAGAAAGAGGGCTATGTCCTGACTGCGCTGGAAGGCACCGTTGGAGACTTTAAGGCTTATGCCCTGGCAGGTGTGAGCTTTGAGGTAATGCTGCGTGTTTGATGCAAGGTACATTTATTGCGTTTAACTGGCATACAGTAACCCACCCATACCATACAAGATCTGATGGTCTCACGTGAACACACCCTTGTAGACACTGCCACAGACTCACTCGTGAGCAGATGTGTCCCCCCAAAGTGTCCTCATACCTCTTAGTGACCGGCCCCTCCAGCCTGCCCCGCCTCTCTGACTTGCATTCTGTCACTATAAATGAAGTTGCATTTTCTAGAATGTCATATGCAAATGAAACTATACAGGAGATACTCTTTTTTGTCTGGCTTCTGTCAGCAAGGCTGTTGACAGCCCTTTGGGGAGTGCTTTAAGCCTCATCTTTTCCTCTGTAGCGAAGGACACAGACTGTTCCTACATGGGGTTCGATCTCTTCCCTCAGTCCTTCTTGGGAAGGAGCATGCTGTATACTGCCCTTTGTGGGGCCGGAGCATCTTGAGTAAGAATATTCTCAACACAGAAGCCTACAGGAAATGGCAGGTTACAGCATATAAACATGTAAAGCTCTATTGTGCAGAATACATTTTTTTTTTTTTAAGATTTATTTATTTGTGTATACAGAGCTGGGGTACAAGCCAGAGGCTCCGGGGCGGTGAGAGGCTTTACCAGAGACAGAGTGAGGAGTAGAACAGGCCGATTGACGAAGTACACTGCTGAGGGGAGCAGCGGGCGGGTCAGGAGAGATCTGCCATGCCTTGTGGTCACTTCCGGGGCAGGCAGGGATTGAACTCATGCGGAAGTGGCTTTAGCTTCTCAGTGCTGTGCTTTAACCCGCTGCGCCACCAGGGAGGGCCCACATTTTTAAGTCAAATTAAAAAGATGTTTGAACTGGGGAGATAGATTAATGCCCTAAAAAGTGCCCCCAGTTTACAGCAAACTCCTAAACTCTGTAAGGAAAAGCCAACCTGATAGAGAAAATATGAACGAGGCTGCGGATAGGCATCCGCAGAGGCAACAGAGTTACCAGCGAACTAGTGCTCAGTCGTGGCCATGACTGAGGCGATGCAAAGGAAGTTAACCCTGAAACACTGGTTTGGGGCTAGATTTGCAGTAGTGAAGGCAACATCCATTTTGGGGGGCATGTCTTTTGTCCCACGCGTGGATCATTGGTGGAACTGTAAATGGTTTTAGCCACTTTGGTGTGCAAGTTGGGGTGTCTTTCTGCATTTAAAGTGCCTGTAGCAGCAAATGTACTCCTAGGACTGGCTGTCTCTTGGCTGTCCAGGGAAGGAGAAAAGTATAAATGCACAAAGTTAGAAGTGTCCAGAGACATTTAGATTGTCCTTTTCGTCATGAAGGAGGCAGCTGGTCCCTGCAAGCTACCTGACCCTTGCTTTACGGTGACACGCAGCTGTTAGAAACCACAGTCGAAAAGGAAAGCTGGGAGCTGAGGTGTGGCAAGAGAGCGGGTTGGCGAGCTGGCCGTGTCACTTTCACCACTCTGTTTCACCTCCGTCTCTCCCTGCCCCCCATCATCCTGCCTGCCTGTCATCAAGCCTAGTGATGTTTATAAATCGTGTGTGAGCATAGTGCTGCCAGGCTGCACCCCAAACTATTAACATTCGTTACTCCAGGGGATGGAGAGGGAGATTTCTGTCCCCCATAAATGGCAGTATAAGAATAAAAGCTTAGGGATTTACCTCCTGACTTGTGAGGGGGTCTACCTGGTTAACATGTTACCTTTTCTCACTCCCAGATAAAAGCTGAAGATGACCAGCCCCTCCCTGGGGTCCTCTTGTCCCTCAGCGGTGGTGTGTTTCGTTCCAACCTCCTGACTCAGGACAATGGCATTCTGACATTCTCAAACCTGGTAAGGCATCTGTTCACGTACTGCCTGCCTGTCTCTCCCATGAGAGAAGGGACAGTGTGCGGGACTTAAGTGTCGCTTGACAATGTGAGAACAGAACGCCAGCAAGGAGAGTTTGTACATTTCTTCAGGGACCAAATCTAATTAGAGGATCGCTCCTCCCGGAACTCAGTGCTGCTGATTCGTGTCCCTTTCCGCACGCTCCCTGTTTTCTGGTCACCCGTGTGTCACTAAGACAGTGGCCTCTGTGGCTCCTGTCTCCTGTCTCTGGTGTCACCACAGGCTGCTTATGATGTCAGGTCCAGAGAGTGGTCAGCTGTTGCATGAGGCGGGAGGCACAGAGTTCTCTTCCAGCTGTTAGCCTAGGCCCCGGCTGGTGGGCATTCCTGAAGTGTCCACTCAGTGGCCCCCGGTCCGGCCTGGGGATAAAGTTACCTTTTTGGGCATGTCACCAGCATCGGACAGGTGTGCCCGTCAGCGCCCGGCATCCAGGTTCAAACCTGCCTTCCGCTGTTTACTTGTGTCACTCACTGCGCTGAGCCTCAGTTTCTTTATTTGTAAAATTCAAATCTGAGTTCTGTCTCCCTGTTACGGAAGCCCATGACGGTGACAGCTGCCACTTGGAGCTGGAATTGCTTCCGTCGCGCTGTTGTGACCCTTTGCATGGCATCACGCTGTCTTTCGCTGCCCCTCTGAGCCCTGCCGCACGTGGCAGTGAAGGCTCAGTCTGAGCTTGGCTGTCTCTTGGCAGAGCCCTGGCCAGTATTACTTCAAGCCCATGATGAAGGAGTTCCGGTTTGAGCCATCCTCCCAGATGATCGAGGTGCAGGAGGGGCAGAACCTGAAGATCACCATCACCGGCTACCGGACTGCGTACAGGTGAGCAGCCCTCACGCTCCCCTCTCTGCCAGCCGGGCCCTGGGGTCCCTTGCCCTTTCTGGTTCTAGAAACTTAGCACAGCTCTCAAGTCGGGAGAAAGGAGATAAGGTACGAGAGTTTTCACTGCTGCCCTTGTCTCCTCAGACTCGTGATTCAGTCACACGTGTCCTATTTTGAAGTTGGTCTGAGAGCCTACTTAGTTGCTTAAAATTTTTATTTTTTTAAAAAAAGTTTAAAATGAATTAAATTTCTAAAAAGAAGGAAATGCATTCACTTGAGTAAAACTTCAGAATGTTGAAGAGTGTAGAGCATGTGTTTCTCCACTGTTCTTGTCTCCCAACCAACCAAATTTCCAGTGTTCCAGTGTTCCCAGAGGGGGTTCATGCCCACGCTGGTGTCCGCAGCCCCACCGCATGGCTGTCTGCATGTGTTTCCGGAGTGTGCTCACACGCCTGTGTACCAGTCAGCTCGTGGGTGTGTGGACACAGAAGTACTTGAGAAGAGGATTCGTCAGTCAGGAGTAGGTTTAGCATAATGGACCATTTCTAACCAGATAGGTGGGATGAAAGAGGAAGTGATTTATTTTCATTTTATTGAATATGTCATTATTTACAAGAAAGCCTAGCAAAAAATTCTTCAATGAGGTAAAATCAAGCTTACCTTTCTTAAATACAGTGTTCTAGAGGGTCCCCTAAAATGCATGAAAAGAGAAATCATGACCTCTTGGCTGACCCAAGCCCCACCCAGGAAGGCGGGTTCAGGAGAGCCTGGAGCTGAATCTGGGGGTTGCTGGGGCCGCTGCCTGTGGCCTGTCCTGCACTTGCCTGCTGGTAGAAGCAGGACACCTTGCCCGCTGTCTGGCGAGCTCCCCAAAGCCCAGAACCTCATTTCCTGCTGTTTCTGTCACTCTAGCTGCTATGGCACAGTCTCTTCTTTGAACGGAGAACCGGAGCAGGGTGTGGCCGTGGAAGCCATGGGACAGGACGACTGTAGTATTTATGGAGAAGACACGGTGACTGATGAAGAGGGCAAGTTCAGGTTACGTGGATTGTTGGTGAGACTTGGAACACGTTTTATTAGTAGGCCTTTCAGACTGTGTTCAGGGGTGCCTGAGGTGCTCCCAGACTACTTGGAAGGGACTGAGCAAGAAGGGTGGGGATGGGAGTGTTGGGGTTCTGGAAACATCTCAACCCTTATCTTAGTGACATACCTTGCTGACATGTTTGGTTGGGGTTTTGTGGCAAAATAGAGTTGGACAACCACTTTTGCCTAGTGTTGATAATTTATGCCTCAGGCCAGGACTCCCAAACCAAATGCCTGTAGGGCCAGAAGAGAAGTGCAAATGGCTGAAGGAGACTGGGTATCACTAAGGAGTGGTGAGGACTGAGGTACACTGGGAAAGGCCTAGCTCTTGGAAAGGATCCAGCTAGCACCCAGCCCAGCTCATCAGATCCACATGGAAAGACAGACATGTTCATCTAAACTCACCAACTTAACACTTTGCCGCTAATTAAGCTGAACATAGCTTCCTTCTCCACTGTCACAGATTTCCATTTTACCTGAGGCCCTGGACCCCCTCTCTTCCTTGTAGTTACCAGCGCTTTCAGTGTGAGTTAGAGTCACCCCCTAGTTGCAGCCCGTGCCTTCCGCATGCCAGGCCAGGCTCCAGAAGAATGTCCTCGGAGTCCCAGCAAGGGGTTTGGATCTGAGTTTGCCAGAGGATGGCAGATGAGGTTCCTGTAGAAGATTTCCTAGGGATTTCAACCCAGTTGGGATTTCTTGGTTCTTTAACCTTTTCTGGGTAGCATGTTACACAGCATCTTGGCTGGGAATCCACACCAACGGGGTTTCCAGCCAGAGGATAAAGGCAAATCCCTGAGACGTCGCTGTGAGCAAGGAGTTTGGCCCATCAGATGGGAGCAGCTGCCCCGGGGCTCCTGCCTGGCCCAGACCCAGCGTGGGCAGCGCCCCAGCTCCCAACCCCCTCACCCCCCACCATCTGCAGCAGTGCTGTCGCCTTTTCTTCAAAAATTGCTGCTCCCGCTATTCCTCTCACAGGTGCAAGTAGCTATTTTGAAGGAACCCAGTGCTGCTGGTCCTGACTGAGCTATAAAGTAAATTAATATGTCTGTTGGTAGTCATAAATGTGATTGTTCTCATTTCTTTTTAATAATAACTTTATTATCTTTGTAGAGGTACCTTGTGCTCATTATAAAATAGTTCAAGCAATATATCGAAAAGGAAAAAACTTTGAAAGGAAAAAACACACCCTGAAGTCACCCCTGGCAGTGGCCTTGCTTAGTGGAGAGTGAATAACGTGTCCCCCGCCGCTTTCCTCACAGGGCTGGCCCACGCGCGCCGCTGCAGGAGACCAGACTGGCCCGGTTTAAAGTAAATGATTACAGCGTGGGTCAGCCCCTTGTAGATGCGTGTACTTGACCCAGTGTTTCAGATTCTTGAGAGCATCGTTCCAGATATCACTTAGACAGGTAGAGGGGGTCTACAGCAAGGCAGATAGAATTTTACAGGAATAAGCATATTGTGTTGCGCTTGCAGTTCGGAATAGGAAACCTACTTCAGTTGTCTGTGTGGGGCTTAAAGGGGAGGAAGAGCTCAGATGAATGTTTCCTCATCGGGGGGCATTTTCAAGGCACTGGTAAGCAGGTGCACGGTCACAGACTGGACCTGTAGGGAAGAGTGGTGAGGCCTGTGGACAGCGCAGGCCCACACAGGCCTCATGTGACAAGCTCCTTGCTGGCGAAGTGACTGCGGGTTTGTTTGCAGCCGGGGTGTGTGTACCACGTTCAGCTCAAGGCGGAAGGCAACGATCACATCGAACGGGCCCTGCCCCACCACCGCGTGATTGCGGTAAGCACGGGCTTCTCGGGTGGGATGCCCCTGACTGCGTCCCCAACCAGGTACCCTTCAGCGCTGTCTTTCTTCTGCTATGGGGGAAACATAAATCCTGATTAAGGGTCCCCTCAGAATACATCCTCACAAGCAGCACTTCAGGTGGGGTGTTTAGTGAACAGTCTCACTGTCGTGCACCAGAGAGGAACCTTCACCTACTGTTCCCTGCTCCCCCTTCGAGTTCTGACTGGGAGCCAGTGGTTAAAGATCCTAAGGCCTAAGTAGCATTTCCCGTCAGGCGAGGATCCAAAAGAGAATGTGGACTTCCCTAGGGGTAGGGCGCCCAGGTTTCTCATATTTATATGACCCCATTTTCCATGTGGTGGAATCTTACGATCATTGAGATCATGGCATAGCTAATTGCTAGGGTGTCAGGCAGTCAGGTAGAGACTCCCCATTCAGCTTTCTCATCCAGCTTGCCTTGTCTTTCTAGGTCGGGAACAATGACATCGATGATGTGAACATCATAGTTTTCCGGCAGATAAATCAGTTTGACTTAAGTGGAAATGTGATCACTTCCTCTGAGTATCTTCCTACATTATGGGTAAGGCCAGCTCACTTTAGGGGTTGCGATGTTGTCTTCTCAGCTTTGAGAGGAATAGGTTACCCGTGCCCACGTGGGGCTGCATTCATGCTTGACATCCTGCCTGAGAGGGTGGAGGTGGAGGGTGAGATTAAGAAACTTCCATCCATGGGTATTTGGGAGAATGATTGTTGGTGTCTGGGGAGAGACTGGTTCCAGTTAAGTGTGTGATAATATGTATCTTTGGAAACATTATGACAACCCAGTGCCCATTTAACATGGAAAGTTGTGGGAGCTAAGGTGTATTTGTGCAAAGGCAGAGTGGTAGGTGAGACCCTCAGCCATGTGGGTGAGTCCCAGTGCCACAAGAATAAGTCGGGGGACTGGGACTCTCTGAGTCTCCCTAGCAATGGTCATGACGCCTGACCAGTGTGATTGTTGACCAGTTCCATGATGTACACACCTGGCATGTCGCAGACGTGTTAGGAGTTATTTTTGATATCATCATTACACTGTTATTATTATTTTGAACATTAACATAAGTCAGCAGAATCTATTTTAAAGAATTGCATTTCTATGCTTGTCACGTCTGGTGCCGAGATGATTGAAGAACGCCTCGTGTGGCTGTCAGGGGTCGGGGTGGTTTCCCTTCTGAATATCTGTGTTCCCAAAGATTCTTCCCCCTAAGAGATAAGCAGTGCTGGAGGTGTCACACCTGAAATGTCTTATCAGATTTCAACTTCAACAGACTCAGCACCTGCTTTGCTTCTGTTCACCAGGTGAAGCTATACAAAAGCGAAAATCTCGACAACCCGATCCAGACCGTTTCTCTGGGCCAGTCTCTCTTCTTCCACTTCCCGCCGCTGCTCAGGGACGGCCAGGTAGCACCCGCCCTCCGTGCAGTCTCTGTCCTTGTTTAAATGACCCCAGTGTTTAGTTTAAAAGGAAAAACTGTTTTCTAGATTTTCTCCCTAAATGCCACTGTGCAGGAATGGGTGAGGTTGTGCTCACTGAATCCAAGGAAGTTGGGCTCTGGAGGAACAGCTTTTCTTAATTACTTGTTTTTCTGTTTACAAAAATAATACCCCTGGCAGGAGCTAGTGGGGAGGAGAGTCATCACCCAGAAGGAGCCACTGTTAAAATGTCGTCTTCCAGGGCGTGTGACATGACACAAACATACATGTACCCACATTTCTTCACTTAATAGCTCACACCTGGGACTGTCTGTACATTGTTTTATAATTAGTTCTTTTCAGTGAAGACTATATCATGAACCTTTCCCCCGTCCTTAAATCTTTTGTGATAGGGTCTTTAATTGCTGCGCGGAGTCCATGTTAGGGAATGCGTAGTCTGTTTAACCAAGGCCGGGACACTGTAGTTGGAGTGCTGGGAAGAAACTTGGCACGAATTTGGTTCTTTCTGGTGGACTTAGCTTGCGGTCGCCAGGAGTGGGTTGTTTGACCTTCTCCCTCAGGGGTGCTCAACCAGGCCTTTCTTCATGTGAAATGGCTGTAAATTAACAAGTAATTGCAGAATTTGGGAGTTCTTCCCCATTTCTCCACGTGCCCTATGAAGCAGCCACTTCAGGCTGCACAGCTTTGCGGAAGCAGCTTGGGCTTTGAGGCAGGACTCCCCTGGGAGCAGAGCCTGAGAGACACCGGCTTGCTGAGTTACCCTGAGCCAGCCACTCTTACCTTGTAGGCCACGCTCTCCTCATCTCTGAAATGGTAAAATAACCCAGCCCTTGTCTGTGGTGGAGACCAGAGCAAGTAGGCCTTGCTCATTGGGTTGCACACAGTTGGGGCTCAGTATGCAGGGCTGTCACTGTCATGGGGACCACTCCAGAGAGGCCTTGTCCTTAGACCCATTTGAGGCCTGTCCCTTCAAAGCCAGCCTCACCTGGGATTGAAGGTGGGCTTCCTCAGTGTGATGGTGTCCCTGCCTCATCAGAGTCGGTTCATAGTAACTTTCTGTGCTTCCTGAAGTCGACTTCTCAAAGGACCCAAACTGTCATGGCTGAATATACTCATAAAAGGTGCCACAGGCACTGGATAACTAGTCAGCGGATGGTGGTGTGTGTGTGTGAGGAGGCACACCACTGTACTGATGGGCTGGTCTGCTGAGGCCACCACCCTGAAGTTAGTGAGCTTGCTTTGGGTGTGTGAACCTGGGCATTTCTTGAAAAACCTTACATTCTGTATGTCACAGCCATGTGTTAATGGCTTTGTTTTCACTTGCTCTGCCCCAAACTGTCTTCTATAAAAAATACCTTCTGCACGTGCTCAGAACTACGTCGTGCTCCTGGACTCCACGCTGCCCAGGTCCCAGTATGACTACGTCCTGCCCCAAGTGTCTTTCACTGCCGCGGGCTACCACAAACACATCACCTTGATTTTCAACCCTACGGTAAGGAGCGAGGGAGCTTGAGAGAACTGGTGGGGGCGGCGTGCAGGGAAGCGTGGGGCCCAGGAGAGCTGTTTAAAGGCCCCTGGCCCTGGGCGCCCTTCATGTCGTGGATTGTGCATCCTGGATGCTTTTTGGTGTCTCTGAGCATGGAAGCCTTTGTTTCCCTCGGAGAAGGAGCGCTAGTCACGAGGACTGGCAGACACCCAGGGTGTGGCTCTGGGTGGCCTTGCGGTGGGCTCACCACCATGCCAGGGAGGGTGATGTGTGGCCCGTGACTCCCATCCTGCCCACTGCTCCACAAATACATATGCGTACCTCCTTCATGTGGGGTTCCAGTGTCTGGGTAGCAGCGGGAGGCAGGGGGAAGTTGGGGGTGGGGCATGTGAGGTGCTGGGTTGGGGGCAGGGGGAGCTGGCTAAGGATGACGGTGCCCTGTGGTTGCAGAGGAAGCTGCCTGAGCAGGACATCGCGCAAGGCTCCTACATCGCCCTGCCCCTGACGCTGCTTGTCCTGCTGGCCGGCTACAACCACGACAAGGTAGGGCCTGCAGCGGCCCCATGAGGGCAGCCTGAGCTGGGAGAGGGAGTCTTCATAGTGACACGGTGACCAGACGTCAGTGCCAGGGTGGGACCACGGAGACCTTCAGTCCAGTCCCCAGGGTTAAACCTCTGGCCTTGACACCTCTCTAAACCTGGGGTGCCAGTCCCACCTGTCTCTGCTGCCTCTGGGACCAAGGCCAGCCTTTGTGAACTGAGATGGATGCGTGGTGACCCACCCCAAGCAGGAGGTGTGCGAGCATGTGCAGTTCCGTCAGTGGTTGGCCAAGTCCCCCTGGCACCCCTCATTCTCTCTCTTTCCTCCTCTAGCTCCTCCCCCTGCTGTTGCAGTTGACAAGTCGACTGCAGGGTGTCCGAGCTCTTGGTCAGACGACCTCTGACAGCAGTGGCCCTGAAGATGCCAAGAGACAAGCCAAGAAACAGAAGACAAGGCGGACGTGAGGAGGATGAGGGCGTGTTGGAACCTCACTCGGGACAGGTCATGGCCAGGGCCTCCCGGCCCGGGCACCAGCGCAGTGTGGGACTCACTTTGTGGGTGCCATCTGCCCACACGCCTCGGAGGGCGTAGCTGCCTGTTCCCGACCGGCCCAGCCCGGCCCCTCGGTGCAATGTGATGTCGGACCCTCCTGTCACTCTGCTGAGCACAATTTATTTTCTGAGTTGAAGATAATTTATTATTATTATTTTTGTCAAAGAAGTATTTAAGCTGTGCTGGTGGCGTGAGAATGTAATTTTTAATTTTCAGCAACATGGGTTTAGATCCTCCAAGGAAGTCCCTGTCGGAACTCCCTTCTTCTTTAAGTTCCCTTTGTCTCCAAGCTCCCTATTGGCAATTGCACAACCCGTATCTACCGCTTGGAGAGAATGTTAGGAGGTACACGTCAATAAAATTGCCCTTCATTTGTGTTGTAGCTCATCTCACATGTGCTTCTTGCAGGACATAATGGGGCACAGAAGGCCGGGGCAAGAAGATCCATAGCAAAGGCAGGATGAGTCCTGGCTGCTGTCTTTTTTTTTTTCAGTGGTAGGAAAATAGGGGTGACTGGGGACTGTGGCAAAGTGAGGAACGCTCTTCAAAGGTGCCGATGTGTCTCAGCCCTAGCTCACTAGTGCCCTGTGGGAATATACATTTACTTTTCCAGAAAAGTCAGAAGGGCAAGTTTTTTTTTGTGAAATCTTGCAAGTCTTAAATGTTAGCAGCCAATTCCATTTGAGAAAAAACCATACATAGAAACTTTTGACTAAACCAAAATGCATGTATAGGATGGGTGAGGCTTGAATGCTCCCAGTATGCATAAGGGATCCGGGAATTGACAGCATTTGAATAGCATTCACTTCATTCTCACAGAGACTATTAAGTCAACAGTTGCATTGAAGGAGGAGCCACAGCCATCACCCAACTTCTAGTGAGTACCACATGGGTCAGGCACTGGGGTGTGAAGATGATGCAGTGAACAGAGTTGGAAGGGGACGAAGCCGCTTCTACTTTGTCCCTCATTGTCCCCTCACTGCTTGGTGGGTGGTGGACACTCAGGAATGACCTAGTGAATGTGTCTATGCGCATGGCACAGGTTGGGTGGAGGACTCCCCTGCTGAACAGCGCCTCCTGGTGGAGGAAGCTCAAAGGTCTGATCCCACCGAGGGTTTAGGGAAACCTTGGGGCCTGGTGTTCAGGCCAAGTCTGGAAGGACACAGAATGGAGAGGAAAAATACTGCCAAAGCGGGCTTTGGCTGCTGCCACCGAGGAAGAAGGTGAGCTTGGGCTTTCCTGGCCCACCTTAGAACTGCGGGGCTTCCAGCTAGAGGCTGCTGGGCTCTTGGCTAGTCCATGTTTTACAGTGAAGGATGCACTCTTAGAGATCTGGGAAAGAGGAGATTCATAATCCATTTCGTGGAGTGTTTTCTGACTCATTCCAAGTGGACACAGACATGTCCCTTTGAAATGCTAGTGGGGCTTTTTATTGGCAAAGTAGAAAGGTTAAGAACTTGTGCAAAATACAACTAAATGTCAATCCTTTCCATCCACTTCCGGACACTGCCATTAAGTGGCAGTCTTGGCCCATCCCTGACTTCGGGTCACCTCAGGTCTTGGCGGGGCTTCTGCAGGACTCTGGGCCTTGACGAAAGCTGATGGATTTCTCAGTCCCTTTGGCCGTCAGACTTTTATTCAGTTGTCTGTCATTATTTTGGTTTCTGGACAGAACTCTCAGCCCTCTGGGATGTGTGTTAATGTCGGAGGATTTTAAATGGAGCAAAAGTTCAATGAGACATTACTTCCCCCTGAGGAAATATTACAAACCTCTAAAAAAGTGGATTCTTGACAGACTCAGTCACGTGCACATTTTGGCCTATTGAAGAAGCCCTTCATGACACCCCAAAGGTCCCTGGAGAAGGCTCATTCTAAGGCGCTGGCTTTATGTCAGTCCTCTTTCCCCCCCCCTCAGGACTGAGATCTTCCCAATGTTATGAAGCCAATGTGCATTTGAGCCTGTCTTAAGAGAAAACTGCCTGAAGATCGTGTAGCCCTTAGGTGGCAGAACTGGGATTTGAACTCGGCAGCTTTAGCTCCCAGGTTCTGCAGCCCCGACATGCGAGCTGAGAGGACACAACCATATGCCAGGTCATCCGGGATAATTCAAGGATCAGGAAAGACACGCGAGAGAAGTGGGCAGAGCTAAGATAAAGCGAACACAGCATGGAGCATGGAGGGGCAGAGGGAGGCCTTGCCATGGTTTCCTCAGCCTTTTCTGGGACCAAAGAGTTACGTGACTGAACGCTTAAATCCAGTTCCTCAGTAGGCAAGACTCCCCTTTCCTTACCAGCCTGGGCAACTCTGGGAAAAATTGGGAAGGAAACAGATGTGGCTGCCTTCAGTTTAGGCTGATTCCTAAGGGTAAGGGCAGTCTTAGCCATCTTCATTTCCAGTCTTTTCCACAGGGGGGCGCGTGGGACAGGTGCCAGCTTCAAGATGCCCCTCCCCCCACCCACATTTCCCTTACCCAGGCCCCTTGCCATGTTGAGTCAAGGCCGGCCCCCAGTGACCAGTGGACTGTGGCAAAGGTGATGCATGACTTAGCCAGCTGGGCCACCAAGGTCTGGCATGCCCCATGTGTGCTCCGGGGAAGCCGCTGCCTTGTATGAGGATCCTCAGGCTTCTGGAGAGGAGTTGAGACTCCTGGCCAACAGCTAGTCTAGCTTGCCCGCCTGAGGCAACTTGGAAGTGGATTCCCCAGCCCCAGCCAGCTTTTGGGTGCTGTAGCCCTAGATTTCCTATGCTGCCACCTCAGAGGCCCCTCCCACCTCATGTGAGAGTGCCCAGTTGGGGTTTCTCGAGTCCCTGACCACAGAGGTGTGGCCCTGCTGTGACTGTCTTAGGCTTCTGGGAGGAACCAGCTCTACCTCCATCCAGGCTCTGGCTCTCCAGCTTTCCAGTGTCCAACTTCCAGATAGAGTAGTTGTTGAGAAGGGATTAGACATTGAAGCCAGGTCCAGAAGACCGTGCTCCCAGACTGTGAATCACATCACCCACCATTTTCGACTTTATAGGTTGCTAAGCCAGGCCCCTCTTGCTAAGCTGCAGGGGCCAGCGCAGCTGCTGGGCACACACTTAGGAAAGTGGAGACGAGGACAGTTCCCTGTGAGTGGAGTTTGGAAGATGGACATCTGTTTTGCCAACTGTTCTGGCTCTGTAGAAATGCCCCTGCAGCGCTGGGCTTTCTACCCTCGCAGCCGGCAGCCCCAGCAGAAGGAACATTTCCCGGGCTTAGTGCTGTGACATTCCCGGGAAGGGGAAAGGTGGGCGCAATTGCAGAGTCGCCAGGGCCTGGCCAGACATAGGCCGTCTGTGACCTCGTGATAGGCAGCTCCTTGGCTGGGGCCCCTGCATTTCCCAGAGGGCCAGGGGCCCAGGGGAGAACAAATAGCAGGCAGCTCCATTTCAAAACTTGACGTGGTCATGGCCCCCTATTTTTTTTTTTTTATTTTAAAGATCTATTTTTTTTCATTAATTTTTTTTATTACAAAGTTTATTTTTACATCATTTTGCAGTTTTTTTTTCCATCTCGATTGTAATCCCCGCGGGTTTCCCATCACCAAATCACCCCTGTGCCACCACCATAGTCCCGTGCATTTCCCTCCCTTCCCTCCCACCCCCCATTTTTGATCCCATTCCCCACTCCGCCCCCACAGAATGTCTGGTATATGGTTGTTCATTATTTTTGTTATTTTCTCGCCTGGTCCATTATACTCCTGCTATGAGTGAAACCATCCGGTATTTTTCTTTCTCTTTCTGGCTTATCTCACTAAGCATGATCTTTTCCAGCTCCATCCAAGTTGCTGCAAAAGACATGTGTTTCTCTTTTTTGGTTGCTGAGTAATATTCCATTGTATATATGTACCACATCTTTCTAATCCAGTCATCTACTTTTGGGCATTTGGGCTGCTTCCATGTTTTTCCAATTGTAAATAAAGCAGCAATAAACATGGGGGTACAGGTATCTTTTTCAATCAGTGTTTTTGTGTCTTTTGGATAGATACCTAGGAGTGGGATTGCTGGGTCGTAGGGAAGCTCCATGTTTAGCAGCTTGAGGAACCTCCAGACAGTTTTCCATAGTGGTTGTACTAGTTTGCATTCCCACCAGCAGTGCAGGAGAGTTCCTTTTTCTCCACATCCTCACCAACAATTGTTGTTGCTAGTTGTTTGAAGATGTGCCATTCTCACTGGGGTGAGGTGGTATCTCATTGTGGTTTTAATTTGCATCTCCCTTATTACGAGTGATGTTGAACATTTTTTCATATGCCTGTTGACCATCTGCATTTCCTCTTTGGAGAAGTGTCTTTTTAGCTCTACTGCATGGCCCCCTATTTTTGACTTTATTTTTCACTAGCAAAAGATGAGCTTATCGTGTCATGCCTGGTGAAGGGGAGAAACTCCTATAATGTGGGTCGACTGTATGCCAGGGCCAGACGGCAGCTTTTGGCCCTGGAACTCTGTGCGGTGGGGGAAGTTATGATAGGGTCCCATTCCTCCCAAATCCCTCCTCAAGTGGGAGCCAGTGTTTATGCTTCAGCACCCATGATGGGGTGTGACTCCTATTTTACTTACACATAAGATGCCACCAATTTACATGTTTTTAGGGGAGTGAGGTGTTCACCATTTGCTGTATGGGTGAAACAGCAGACCTTGCCTTTGCTTCTGGGTTATGATTTTATAAATAAATGAATGCATTAAAACAAGTGGCCCTCAAATCTGCAAATCCTTGCCTCCAGAGACAGACAGTCCCTCCTCCCTGTCTGGGCTCTGCTGGGGAGGTGGCTGGCAAGAGGGCGGAAGCTGGCAGCTGCTGCATGGGCCTCCTGTCACCGCTCTTCAGCTGAGAGGCTGAGGTGGCGAATAGCTGCTGAGTGAACACTCAGGAGGAGCTGCTCTTTCTGTGGGAGCAGCCACGTGGAGAAAGCATTTTTCTGCTTCGAAAGGGTACTTCTGCTCCTGTGCAGCTTCCAGAACACCTAACCTAAGTGGTGATGGATACTCAACTGTTCACGCATGAAGGTGCTATCCAAGACTGATCGTGGCTGAGTACAGGGCTTAGCAAACTGTGGCCAAGCCTGCTGTGCTAGCTGTGTTTGTAAGCAGCCATGCTCATTCATTTACAGATTACCCCTGGCTGTTTCCACCCTGCAGTGGCAGAGGTGAGTGTTTGTGGCAAAGTGGTTTAGGCCTACAAGGCTTAAAAGATGTGCTCTTTGGCCTGCTATAGAAAAGGTTGGCCTAATTCTAGACTAGGGTGTGCTTTGTCAAGTTTGATTTGGGGGGAGTCATTCAGTTATTCAACAAGCACTAACTGAGCATTACCCTTGGGGTGAAATGATGGCAATGAGACTGGCCTCCGTGGATGTCCTCCTCATCCAT